CACCTTTTCATTGTCCTAAATAGCACTGTGATAAAGTCTTTGTATAAATACCTCTGATAATTTCCTTAAATTGAATTCCTAAACATGGGATTACGGATCAAAGACTTTGTATAGATTTATGGAATTTGCTATATGATGCCTACTTGTGTTATAGTCCTGTGCTAATATGGTAGCCACTTAGCCATGTGTAGCTATATTTAAATTTAAATGCAATTTAAAAACCAGTTCCTCTGTTGCCCTGGCCACTAGTCTTAGTCCACAATAGCCACATGGTGCTGGTGGCTACCACACTGGACAGCGCAGACAGGGGACATTTCCATCATTTCAGAAAGTTCTAGAGGACAGTACTGTTTTAGAGAAACCATACTTTTTATCCCTCCGTAATCAGTCTCTCTACTCCTTTATCAGCTTTGAATACTATCATTTCAAGCCTTGTTTATTGGATAGGCAAAAAAGAAGAGTCTCAATTTAATTTATAATTATGTCTAGTTAGAGTTGACCATTTTACCCATTTTGTTAGCAGTTGTCTTTACCTGCAAATTCTCATTTCACTCATCTTGACATTTTTCCCACAGGTCTAGACACGCTCGGTCAGATGCTCTGGGACCTGTGCGTCACGTTCCTGCCTCCACGGCCATGCCTCAGACCAGGGCCGATGACACCTCTTACTGGAAAAATGTGGAAATAGTCATTTCGTATGATTGTGACAGTTGTCACACCTGTTTTCTGTAACCTTTCTTCCTCTTTTTCTTTCCTTTGGTGTTCAGAGTGTTTCTGTTCGGTTTCCTAGCTACTTACCTTTGTTTCAGGGGCTGGGGCTGTCCCTACCTCTCAATAAGGGCCCGTGCTCTCCCCCCCCCCCACCTGCCCCCCGCCCCAGCCCTGTGCTCCGGTCAGAGTGACCGCACAGCACCCTGTGCCTAGGACCGAGCGAGCACTATTTAATGAAATGCTACATGTTTGAGAATGACAGAAAGGAAAAGTGAGAAAAAAAAAAACAAAATCCTGCTGATTTTATTTATAATGGAACTTTTGGTCTCAGTAGCAGAGCCTATTTAAGTGTATACTAAAGGTTTGCTCCTCAACAGCAAACAAGGTTCTGTAAAACACTCTTTTGGTATACATGATTTATTTCACATTTTTCCCTTCTTTGGTTGACAGTTGTGAAATAGGAAACCAAATGCTAGTAAAGGTAACTATAAACCATGTGTGAGGCAAGCAAGTATCGATGCAGCAGTCCCTTCTCTTGCTTCGCCTTAGTCCTGAGCGATAGTAAAAACAAATGCTCAGAACCATTTGGGGATGACGGAGGTGGTGCAAAAGGATATTTTATTTATCCACAAGAAAAAAAAAAAATAGGATCCTTGATCGGTGCTCCCCAATGTGCCTGTGGTGGGGGCCTTACAGACACATTCAGAGCCCATTACATAAATGTGTAGCCCAAATTTAGTTGAGAGCAAATTTAGTTGAGAGTAAGCAAAGTATTTTGAATGCTGGACAAAATCTCCCTTGCTTTATCCCTACAGTGAGGCCAACATTGATATAATGAGTTAAAGTTGACCTAGAAAACACATTTATGAGCATTCCCTTTCCTCTCCAGTGACAATAACAATGGACATGCAGAACCGTAATTAACATAGTTTAGACCAGTGGGCATATTTGGCATCTAGCGCCACCTCGTGGTGATATATCCAAATCCTGGGCCCTTTCAAGGACGCCATGATTTAAAAATGACAGCCCTCTTGAAGAGTTTGGATTTAATGACAATCATGGGAGAGGTCATTTTCTTGGAGAATACAAACTGATAAAAATAACACTTGACTAGCACTTTGTAGTAAATAAAGCACTCCCACGTGATTTAACCTTGGCAGCAGCCCTGCGCCGCAGGTAGCAGCATCTCAGCCTTGGAGATGTGAGAGACCGGGGCTCGGAGAAGGTAGAGACCTGAGTTAGTCAAGCCCTGGACTTGAACCCAGATATTCAAACTCCCAGTTCTGTCATTTATTAATATTATTATACTGCCCCATGAAGTATATATACAAAACTCAAAAGAAATAAATAGAACTATATATCATAGTATAGTATAGAGTATATACTGCGTGGTTTAATATGTACCCTATACTATATATAGCATATATAAATACTGTATGGTATATATGCCATACTGTATAGTACTATATAGTACTTAGTCTGGTTTCTGTAGTACTGCCAACTAGTATGCCCTCCCTTTCTGGGGCTATTTTCTGTCTGTGAAAACAAGTCAATATTGGTTATCTCTTTATAGCCTATGACTCACTAAGTGCTGTGACAGAGTTCTGCTAGTAAACACTATCCTTGCTTTGCTGGGTCCCTACGGACCCAAATTGTGGGAGCCTGTACTTCTCTGCTGTCTTAAGTCCGGGGTGCAATAGCAGAGGTGTGCCTAGGGAGAATGAGCCCGAGGGCACTGAGGTAGTGGGACTGAAGCCATGTTTTTATAATGCTCAGCCTTTTTGTTGTTTTTTTGTTTGTTTGTTTTCTTAATCTAATTCATGGGCTCATAACTAAAACCCCATGGATTTTTGTCACTTCATTCATTTAACTAGAAGTATATTTTACAAGATATATATATTGTAAAGGGCATGCTTAGAGAGGGGAAGGGAGGGAGAGGGAAAGGGAGGTAAACACTGATGTGAGAGAAACATTGATCAGCTGCCTCTCCTTTGTACCTTGACCGGGCATTGAACCTGAGACCTTTCAGTTTACAGGATAGCAATCTAACCAACTGAGTCACTCTGGCCAGGGCACAGCAGATATGTTTTAAAGTGGAGTCACTGAGAAGTTACCTTGCTCAGTATCAGAGGTGGGCATGTCATTAGGCCTGCTTTAAAAATTCCCAGTGAAAACTTTTACAGGCTTTCTTTTATGGGGTAGGAATGTGGGGTCATGATTGCTCCTGTGAATCAAGACAACTCCAAGTTGTATTTGGAGAAAACTGATGGCCTCATTCACCTGTGTGCCCTCGGTCAACTACCGGCCAAGGTAGACGCCTTTTCTTAAGCCCTATTGAGCCTTCTTCACTCCTGCCTCTCAGGCATATGGGCTGCCCTGGACCAGCGACCTCTAATACAGGGGTCTCCAACCCCTGGTACGGGTCCGTGGCCTGCTAGGAACTGGCCTTGAGCAAAGCTTGCCTGAGCTCCACCTCCCCCCTCCCACCCTTGGTCTTCTCAGGAAACTGGTCCCTGGTGTCAAAAAGGTTGGGGACCCCTGTGTAGGCGCACTTCCCAGTACAGCTATCCCCATTTTACAAGTGATGAGGTCACAATTCCAAGTGACTTGATACCAAAAGCCTATGCTTCTCCTACTACACCACACTGCTCTCCACTTTCTACTTCAAATATCCTGTTTTTATCCAGCTTGGCCACTAAAATCCAAGCAACACTGGTCAGAACTAATGGAGGAAATAAGTGAGAGGACTTCTGTGGAGGGGGCATTGGGCGGTTCCTAGAACGAGGCCGGGCAGTGGGGCTCACATGGCGGAGGGGCAGAGAGGGAGTCCCGCACTGGCAGGCAGAGCCTGGCCTGGTCCTGGTCCTGGCCCTGCCCCCCGCCGCCCCCGAAAGACTGCCCGAGGGAAGGTTTGACTCTCACTCTGTAGGGCCCATGAGCATCTATCCTATAGGTCCATCTTCTTTATAAGTTGATTTCAACGAAAAACACACCAGAAAGGACAAACTCTGTGCTATTATCAGCTTTGCTCTCGCCTAGAACAGCCATCTTCCAGCCTTCGAAAGAAGGGGAAATAATGTATGAAGCTACAGACCAGCAGGAGGTGATAGGACTTCCTCTTGCTTGCCTGCTCCCTAGGCCTCTCCTAGGAAGTCAAGGTCATGTGGCCGTTAGGACACCCAGCAAGCATATGGTCTGACACCCACTGCCTCTCCCTCGTCTTGCCAAGAGCATTTTGCCCAATTGCGTAGAATGGCTATGACTATTGCCCAGCCCCTCCCACTGGGACCCCTCCTCTGCAGATATGGTTGGAGTGGAAGGGCCCTACCTTGCTGCATACGCAGTTCAGTCAATACGCTCAGGACAAATGCTCTCATAAAAGAGCTTTTTCCAAAAAGTAAAACGCAAAGGCTTACGGGATCACTTTTTGTTAGCAGCCCCATAGAACTTAGATTTTATTTCATGAAGTAAAGGTCATTACATGAGAATAGTTGGGAAACAGGTCAGCAGACCAATTTCAGGATTTCCCCCTAGCCCACCCAATACGAGCTATGTGCTTTTGGCCATGCCAGTCACTGGCCTCCTAACCGCTGCTTCCCCATTCCCCAGCAGGGGGCTGGGACAGTCCATCCACCGTGTTTCTGAAGAAACTGCACTGGGCAGATGACAAGAGGCAGAGGGGGTTGGTGGGAGCCTTCCCTTCTCTCCCTCTCCTTTGTGGCAGCGTGGCAGGGACTGGCCCAGTTATAGAGGTCTCGAGAAACGGCGGGGAGCTACTGTGGGTTCTTGAGACAGAGCTAAAGTGGCATTTGTGAAACACTGGTCTTGAAGAGGCATAGAAATGAAGTGGAGAAAAATGGGAAATATGAGACACTGGAAAAAGAGAAGAAAAGAGAACAAAAACCTTCAGGCTAAAAAGCACAGATGAGTTGTCTTAGTCTATCTGACCTCATTTTTCTATAGGATTGCACATGTCAGACTTTCGGACTCACATGAGTAATGACAAAGATCTCGTGATGCAAGGTCCTCAAGCTTTTCCTCGGGGACTTTTATAGTTGGACAACATGGCTAAATTATACCATAAAACTTGCTTTACTTTTCAGGCCTTGCAATTTTATTTGATTTTGTTTTTCTGTAATATACACACACGCTTGTTACTTTTTAATACAAAAATTATATATATTCACTTAAAAAAGTAAAATATAAACATATACAAAATAAAAAGAGTGACCCTTAAACTTTCCTCTTCAAGGGGAGGCATAAAAGTCAACCTTGTGAAAGGTCAGGACTTGTGACCTAGGCCCAGGGTCACAGGAGTTGGGTTCTTTGGAGGCTTTCGGAATTTGCTCTGAAGGAAAACTCTTGGCACACACAGGCCTTCTTTTTTATTCACCGTTTCACGAAACACATACTCATTCACCACTTCTTCATAACCTGTGTCCACAAAGAGCTGAGCCAGGAATTCTGTAAGACAGCAGATCAGCAACACTCAGCACAGAAATCATTACATTTGCTTTGCAGTGGGGTAAGGAGGAGGGCTGGAAGGCTGAGACAGATTTTTATTTTTTAAATGTAATTGAAAATGTCAATGCAAAAATTTAAGGATTTTGTTTTAAAAAGTAACACACTTCTACTTCTCATCATCTTACACTCAAATAGAAACCCCTAACTAAAAAGGTAACCAGAAAAGTTTAAGGACAGCTTGGACTATGCCCACCTTGCCCTATTTATGAGTCCCCAAAGGCAAAAATCTGAGTAAAAAGCAACAAAATTCCAAACTGGTTGTATTCATACAAAGCCTGCATGTGTTCAATTTCTTTACATCAAGCACGTCACCTAAACATGAAAGAGGAAAATCTGTGACCAGTGTTGGGGGAGGGGAGGAGGGAATCATCTGATAGTGATATATCCTAAGAAAAATTTAACCTAAATACTACATCACTATGTGTGAAATAAATGAATAGAGTAAATGGTTATGTAACAAAAATACTCTACCCAAGAGCATTACTCCAAAGACTGAGCTCTGAAGCACTTTACTGATAATTACCGCATCTTCTCATTTATTTACAACTGGTTTCCTCAAATTTCATGAATAAGAAACATTGAAACAAATGCTTAATTTTCACCTGACATTTTTTTATGATTTTGCAGTCTGAATGATATTTACTCAATTTTCATCTAGAATCTAGAAGAGTAATTTATTTCAAGAAATAAAAATATTGGTTAAAAAAAGCGCTTAAAAAGATCATTATCTTATGGCCCAGATTATTAAGTAGGCTTAAAACTCATGTTTGTTTTTTTAATAAAAAATGACTTTTTAAGGACCCCTCGATAGAAAATTTCTGCATTTGAACACAGATCCAATCATTTTTAAAGAAAAACGTTTCTTTGCCCTGACTGGTGTGGCTCCGTTGGTTGGGCATTATCCCGCAAACCATAAGGTTGTCAGTTCGATTCCTGGTGAGAGCACAGGTCTGGGTTACTGGTTTGGACCCTGTTCGGAGGGCAAAGGGGAGGCAACCAATGGATGATATTTCTCTCTCACCATCGATGTTTCTCTCCCTCTCTTTCTCCCTCCTTTCCCTCTCTCTAAAAAGAAATAAAATCTTTTAAAAAATACTTTGTGATCTGGGAAAGTAATTACAAGCAATATATTGTCCTATTTCCTTCATGTTTGACTGAACAAAGTGAAGAAGATTCTGAGCTACCCTCCCCCTCGCCCAGCACAGGTCCTGGTAGGGCGTCCACGTGGCTTGTCAGAGCCTGTTCGTCTGTTAACCCAGGCTAATTAGACACTGTCGCCAGAGAAGGCTGGGAGCTCACCATGGCCAGAGACAGCGTCTGTGTTATCCCAGGTGCTCGGTAAGTGGCACATAACAGCTTGTTCCAGGGTCTTGTGCATGTGTGCTAAGTAGAGCCATCCCCACCCCCAACCACTATTTCAGCAATAAACCAATCAAGTAAACAGAAATAAAGACAGATTCCATTCATCTTACCATCAGTAAAAAAATATGATCTGGTTCCATCTTGTCTAACGTAAAAGTTTTCTCCAAGTTTGCTGCCGGCTTTAAACCTAAGCATGGCATGATCATATAGCCCATAGTCGCGAAACAAGACATTTTTGCCTGGTTTTAATACCTATAAAGCAAAAGGTGGCTGCATATAACTCTGGGGAACCCAGTCAAATAAAGCTTACTATGAAATAAAAATGATTACTTTAGAGATGAAATTAACTTACACTTACGACAATTATGAAAGGGGTCAGACTGAAATCCCCATAATATGAAGGAAAAAGGGCCAGCCAATCAAAGGTACAGTCAAACTTGGCAGTATGCCCACGAAGTGATACTTCTGGAGAACTTACAAGACACTCTGGAAGGTCCAGTGTCATGCAGTTAAAATGTTAAAGATGTTAAATAAAACAGTCTCACTCTCATTAAAACATGATCTCCCAACATTTTATTAGTCATCTCTTAATACGTGACCCTGTAGTCCAACTGTCTCTTTAAAAAAATATGTCATTTTGACTTTTTACTGATTGTGTCTGGCTTGCCTCATTCTGACTCTCAGCTCTGGTTTTGCTGGGCTGTAATTACGTACAGCTTGCCCATCATGCAAATAACTGACATATGCCTAGCTCTGTACAGATTACCAGACAGTCTCATTGGATCTTCATCCAACTCTGAGAGGAAGGAGCTTGATTATCAGCCTCATGTAAGGAGAGGTAACTGACATCAGAAGAGTTAAGGGATTTGCCTACAATCACACATCAGCTACTAAGTGGGGGAGTCAGGACTCACACTTGGGTCCAAACGCATCAAACTGTAGAACCAGAAACATGTTAGCCTCAGGACATGTGTGCATGTGTTTGGGGTCATTCCAACTCCACTGAGAGTGCCGAAGAAAAGAAGGGCTCTGGGAGGGGAGTCACTGGGTACTGCTCCCCCCGCTGTGCTGCGCTTCTGGCTGTGAGGAGGTGCGGATCAGCCAGCACAGTAGTGTAGGGAAGGGCTTCAACGTCAAGCCCAGGCGGGAGTCCCTCACTAAAGCCAGTCAGAGATAGGTGTCACAAAGTGGGAAGGTAGGATCAATAGGGAGGGGGTATAACTACTCCTATCTTACAAAGGAAATAGCCATGTTTTTCAGGATGAAAAGAAAGTGGTACACACTGTGCCACTGCATTAACATCACCAAATCAGAGTGGACTTCAAAGGGGGCACAAGTTTTATTAACTCTTATTCTGACCCATTACATCAACAAGTTATCTTTTAAGACATATGACACAAACTACATATTATAATAGATATATGACACAGTTTGATGTATTTCTTCTCTCTGAATAGAATATAAAGTATTGTCCGTAATATATACTTCCACGTGTGCTCACAGATTCTCATTTAGTAAATTCTTATCAATACTAGCACACATTTTAAATATTGTCAGTAAAGAGCCTCTGGGATAAAAAAATTCTTACCTTGGTCAAAAATGCTAAATTTTAAATTGTGAACAACTGAGAGGGGAAAATTCTGAAAAATTTAGCTCACATGAGAAAGGCTTATTCTTCATTTCAGAAGGGAGTGAATGCTGCATGGAAGAGTAGAAAGAACACTCGCTCCAGAATTTGCCAATCTTGACTCATACCACACTTCTTTCATTAACTAGTTGAATGACCTTGGGCAAGTAATTTTATCCCTCTGTATGTTTTCTCATCTGTAAAATAATTATCATGATGCTAATGCCTCCTTTGATCGTGGCCCTGTGTAGTTAGTTAACCAGGCATTTCTCAGTGTTAGGCTCTTTCATTCCCCCAGTAACTCCAAGCAGTGGGCAGGTAAGCTCTAGTACACGCACTTTACAGTAACTACAACGCAGAGTGAAAGCGATTTGCCTGAGGTTCCACGGCAAGCCAGTGGCACAGGGCAGACCAAAATCCAGGTCTTCTGACGACAAACTGGGTCTATTTTACTTCACCATTCTATTCCAAAAATGGGGGACTTCCACTAAGGTTTTCTTTCCATTTAAAATTACGTGGTTTTTAAATTTCTCTAGTGTTAACATCCTGGAGTAACTATATCTTACAACAGCTTTGTAATCCTTTTAATATTTTCGACTTAGGTAACTACATTGTCTGAAAAGTAGTAGGTTTTGTTTCTTTCTCACCCTTAAATTCTTCCTTGTCTGTCTGAGCTGACCAGGTCCTCCAGGATAATGACGAATGGCGGTGGGCATCCTCGTCCTCCCGCTATTCCTTACTCTGTCCCAGCTACTTCCTAACCCCTGAGACCGTGATCACTGAAACTGCTAGTATCCACAACCTCTTCTCAATGTTCCCTGCATTCTTGTGCTTACAGGAACCTGGCTGTCCCCTGATGACACTGTTTTCCCCGCAACCTCTCAGGCCAAATGGCCGTTTTCTCCCATTGCCCTTGCACCGCTGGGCGTGAAGACCTAGCTGGGTTCCTCCCTTGCTCCTCATTGCGACTTTCTCTGCATTCTCCTTTCTCCTCGTGAACCCCCCAGCTCTGGATCTCTTATCATCAGATTACATCACCCACTATCCCTTCTCCCTTGTTATGTCTGTTAGTTGCACACCATATCCCTCCATTTCATGATGAATGTATCCTGTGGTGTACTCTCTTATTCTCAATACTATTCTATTCTCAGTCCTGGCTAATTTCAATATACAGGTGGATTATCCTTCTAAATATGCTGGCTCCTTAATGACTTGAGTTTCTCTTCCAAAGATCTGTCCTCCGCCCTACTTAAACCACTCACTCCCACGGTAATAGCCTAAAGCCTTGTCAGCACTAAAAAGTATAATCCCTCCTTACCTTCACAGTCATCCAGGGCACTCTCTGACCGCCCCACCGTCTTTTTAGCTCTCTCTAGTTCCCCCCATCTTTTATAAGCCTTCACCCTCACCTGGCCCTCCAAATCAGATGATCCTTCCATCTCTCCCCTGATGCCCTCTCTTCTCTCTTTACCCAGCTTAAGTTCCATGCCCATTTATTGGTACCTGCTGGGTTCACATCTGTTTAGATACCAGGAGAAGGCAAAGGAGAGGTTAAGGAGAAAAAAAACAAACAAACCTTAAAAAACCTCAGAAAACCTCAGAGGGTTAAAATCAATGCAGCAGTATCTGAATTTTTTTAAAAAAAATATTGTTTTAAGTGGGAATAATTATGTCCTAACAGGTTTCCAGTGTCTTGAAATTTCTACCTCACCACTCTTCTAAAACAATTAAAATCAGGGTTAAATTTTAATGTATAGCTCTAAATACCCAGAATCTCTCTTACCTAACATTTACCTTTTCACCTTGCTGAACGCTTCCCTTTGTAAAGCAGCCTGACTGAAGCCACGACTCACTGAACAGGTGAGGCGTATGGGCGTCCTAGATGACGCGCACGTGCCCTCCGGGGCCTCCCAGGGGAGCTGCAGGGTTACCACTGGGCATCGGTGTCTGAAAAACTCATCGTTGCTCTGAGGCTGGCCAAGCTCTGAAGAGCAGCACTGGCTACCAGACAAATCGAAGTTTAGGGTGGACGTTTTATGCAGGAGAATTCCTTTCCACACACTGACTATACTGCCTACCTAGGGAGATGGGAGGTCTGGAATCTAGACAGTACATGATCCTTGTAGGGAGGGTAAGCAGGAAAACTGGGATGTCCAGCTTTGCAAGTACAGGCTCAAACTCACTCACCTTATAAATGTTTTGTAAGACAAGGTACATCTTTGCAGGGTGAACAGCAGAGAGCACAAATATCAACATGACAACATCCACGGACTCTGGAGGCACATATTCCAGAAGGTCATCTTTAGTTAGATCACACTGGAATACCTTGCATCTTTGTGTGTCATATAAAGGATTTTGCTAAAGAGGGGAAAAACACAAAAGACTTTTAATTCACCACCTGTGTTCATACACATAGAACACTACAGCCACAAAAGGAGATCCTGTTTCCGCGCGTGTACTGTTGCTCAGAGATCACAGATCACTTTGTTATGAGTAAAACTGAGTTATAAGCCATTTACACATTAAAGCATTTAATACTCAATATTGCTGTGAGGGGGAGATTTCATTTTAACAAATCATTTTTAATTGTGGAGAGAATACAGCTCATCACATATTCAAAACCAAGCACTTTAGAAACACACTACCATGGGTCCAAAACTGGCCTCTGCTTCCTTCATCCTCCTTTGAATGATCCACCACAAAACCAAATCCCACAGGAAGCCCTCCAGCTCCCCTTACTGAGACGCTCCTACGGCTCTTCTGGGTATACGTCCCCTGGCTGCAGCAAGCTAAGTATGCCCAGCTTTTTTCACTACAAGAGTGCTCCTGGTACATTACGGTTGGTGGGTTTCAACACATGTATGAGTGCATTATAAAGAAAAATTTTAAACTTTCCTTTAATGTAAATAAGGACATGAAGAAAAGGACATATAAAGGTACTGAATGGGAAAATTCAATATTAAAAAGATGCCAACAACCTATCATTCCACTTACAAATCCAGTGCAATCTCAACTGAATCCTACTAAATTTCTAAAATCTTGACAGGGTAAATCTAATTAATCTGGAAGCAAAAAATCTTCAGAAATAGCCAAGTCAATTTTTAAAAATGAACAACATTGAGGGAGAAGGTACACTACTGAACATCAAAACATTACAAAATATAGTACTAAAATAATATGGTTTGAGAATGGGAACGAATAGATACTGAGGAAAAAAAAGTCCCAAAACAGACCCATGAATATGGAGAAATTGAGTACTGGATGTGACAAAAAGATATGTGACAAAGATGATAACTAATAAAAAATGGTAGATAATAAAGGTGACAATTATCAAGAAGGAAAAGTGAATTTTTCACTTCATGTATTGCGTTTGAGCAACTAGATATCTATTTGTATTAAAACAGTACGCACTGGCCACCCAGATAAATTAGAGACTTCCAGTTTTAGCTCAGGGGTACACAGAGGTGAGCAATAGAGCCCCCATCCTCACCATGAGAAACAAGCTGCACAGACAGCAGAGTGATGACTTGTTCAGTTGGGTTCTTGATAAATATATGTGGAATAAAGGACCTCGCGAGCAAAAAACAAAAAAACAAAAAAGGTCAAAAAAATCTAATGCTTATTTACATATTATAAAGACTTCACCCTCATTGATTATAAGAAGTAAAAAAATTAAAATATGGAAACATTATATTTTGCCCATAAGATTGGAAGATATAAAAAAGACTGACATTAAATGTTGGCCTAGAGTAAAAGGTATCCTTATATTATTGGTGAAATTATAAATTGGTATTAAGTTTCTAGAAAGAAATTTGGCATTATCTATTAAAATTTAAATGTGTATACTCTTTTTTCCATTATTCAACACATAGAAATGTGTAGAAAAATGTGTGCATGTGTTTTGGAAGCATGTGTATAATGCTGATTATATTAACCCTGTTTATAAGAGGAGAGAACCGGAAACAATTTAAGCAAATATCAACAGAGTAATTGTTAAAGTATGGTATATCCATTTTATGACTACAACAGGTAAATAAAAAGTGGTAGATGAAAAACTGCAAGATATAAAGTAAAATGACAAAAGCAAGTTACAGTACAATGTGATACCAATATTAAACAAAAAGTCTCTAATGAATGCTAAAACTCTGAAAAGCTGATGGAAAACTACACTATCTGCATGTTGGCAAAGTATCCCCCACATATTTTTTAATGGCAAAAAGGAAATATTTATACAACAAAGGAATTAGGTAGTTGCTACTTTAACCCAGTGATCAAAGCTAGCATCACTTATAGTAAGCTTACCAGACGTTATTGCCTCCTCACATGATGCAATATGAAAGACACATCACCTATTATTTTTGCCAATAATAACTTACCTGATTTAAATCTAACTTCTAGTTTACAGCAAAAATAGGTGATAGAGGAACAAGTTACATGATACAAAGAAACAATCAAAGCATTTTGGAATATAGGACCTTGTTACAGAAAATGGCCTGTTCTCCAAAAAAACTCAATGTCAGTGCGGAAAAAGGTCAAAGTGAAGGGCAGGAATGTTTTAGGCTAAGGAGATTTAAGGTACACAACACAGTATAAGATGTGGTCCTTGATTAAATATAGCTATAAAAGATACCTGGGACTATTTGGGGAAATCTGAAACTGCACTGGGTACTAAAGATATTAGAGGATTGCAGTTACTTTCGTTAGATATGTGTTTTGTAGTCATGGAAAGAAAATCCTTATTGAAGACGTATGCAGACATGTTTAGCAGTGAAGTGTCTATAATTTACAATAGTTCAGCAAAGAAAAGTCTATAAAGCAAATGGGGCAAAACGCTGGCAATCATTGATTTTGGGATAAGTATATGGGTGTTGTTATGATATTTCTTTCTACTTTTTCTGCTGCAAATATGTATTATATACATATATAAGTGGAAAACTACATTTATGATGGCCATAGCTTGTTAACTTCAGGGAGAAGGCTGACACTGGGAAAATGGGTCTAAAGGGCAGGTCAAACAAATCTAAAAAACCAGAAACATAACAGAACACATGGATGGTGCACTGACCTTGACATATTCAACTGCTCTTGGAGAAAAATCACAGGCATAAGCAAATATATTCATATCTTCTTCTAAAAGTGGGAATAAACAGTTCCCAACCCCACAGCCAGCTTCAAGCACAGTCAATTTTTGATCTTCAAACTGAGGAAAGAGAACCCAAAGTTAGAGTATACTATATTTGCATAATGAAGAAATAAACCAAACTAAAAGGCCCAAAATATGAAAGACAAGGTCTCTGCCTCTAAGGCAAGAAATAAGTATATTGATAACCTAAAGCTAATACTGACATCTCAACTTGTTGTCCAACACCAGGCAGTTTGGTGTGGAGAAAACAGCATAATGGCTAAGAGAACAGATTAAACTGCTTGCACTCAATCCAGACTCCACCTCTCCCCGATTTTCTATCATTGGACAAATCACTTAAACAGCTTTGTGCCTCAGTGTCATCAGTAGGTAGGGTTAACACTAATGCCTGCTTCACGGTGCTATTATATGGTTTAAATTACAGATGTAAAATTCTGTAAAAAGGCCATGGTAAGGTGTTCATAATCATTATGAATCTGTCACTGGAGTTACTCTGTATGAATTTAACATTTACAACTTTTGGATTAGCTTTGAAGAAACAAAAATGTCCACTAAAGTTCTCTTCTATGTATTACATAACCCAGGAACTGCTAAAACTACTTGAGACTAGTCTATTCCTCTTTAAGGTACAAATCATTCTGACAGGCTTCTTAAATCCTCTACCTCACTTTCATAAAAATGCAATAAAGCTCTTCTACACATTTTAAATGAAGAGCAGCTGAAATAAGGTGTAACATTACCTCCCTACATGATCTGAGCTCCTCGAACTCTCTGGTGGTCCAGTGTCTATCTTTGAAGAAATTAGTACTATTTCTTTTGTAAAAAAGATCCCAGTTCTTCTGAGCATCTTTTTCCAGTTTTTGCTGTTTAAAGTCGGACACTAAAACTTGGTCTCTTTTCAGTTTCTCCTCTTCTTCAGAGCTGAGAATCCTTGCTTGCAGCCCTTTCCTTTGCAAAGATGTCATCTCATAAGTAGATGATAATATATTTAACACTGCTGAAGATTCTCCATCCCTGAGTAATCTGAGGAATCCAAGTTTATTCTGCAGACACAGGCAAGGTTTTCTTAGAGGTGGTCCCTCAGGTTGGGTTCAAGGCTCAGGCCGTATTACTACTTTGCAGGGGAAAAGGATGATATTTTGGTTAGTGGTTCCAGAACAGTTCTTTAAGAAGCTGAGGTAGTGGTTCTATAACAGCTCTTTCACCAAACACTTCATGTCACCAAACATTTACTAGTGCTGACTCTACACAACACCCCGCCTGCTACATGAAGAGAGGTCACAAAGGAGATGGAGACAAAGTCCCCACCATCAGAGGGCTGACATTCAGTAGCCCAGGACTCTCCTGCACAGACCTCTATTTCAAACCAGGATAAGTCATTCATTAAAATAAATCACTCTAGTTTAGAAAAAGGACACTCCCAAGAACTGCGAAACCTTGGAGAGAAAATACTCATTAATTTTTGCGGTGACTTAACAACAACTGCAACAGCGGCCCGGATTGGATGCGGGTGGTCAACGGCCAGGCAGAAGTGGGAACATCGTTTCCCAAGAATCGGAGACTCAGGTGTTATTCGGGGAAGATGGAGTTACGTCTGAATCTCTGATCAAAAAAGCTCTCTCACAACCAGGGACTGGGGCCCTCGCACCGCCAACACCGCATGAAGGGAAGGAGGAGACGACTGACGCGTGGCGTAGGATCCCGAGGATCCATCGGTCTCAGGAGACTCCGGATAAACTCAGCCAGCCCGGCCGCGAGGGCCTGCGAAGAGCCGGTCATGCTGGCTACCAGACCCGCGTTCATCTAGCCCGCTGCGCTCTGGCCTCACCGTCATCAGTTCCTAGCTTCAGCTGGAGGGGTAGGGCCAAGCGCATTCAGCCCTTAGCCAGGCCCAGCCCCACAGAAGCAGAATTCGGGAGTCGCCGCGAAAAAGCCCTGAGCATGGACAAACCAGCGTTGAGGACCTCAGAATCCCGGCGGAATTCTATTGCCATGGCACCGCCTCCGCCACTTCCGCTACGAACCCAGAAGTGCCTCCCCGACGCCGGAAGTCCCGCGGCCTTGCTTCCTCAAAGGGTTCCCCCACCCCTACGCGGAGGAGACTTGCTTCCGGCGCCGGGTGGGCGCAGGTTGGATTCCCGCTGCGCTCCGGAGAGGTGTCCCGGGAGCACCGCTTTCCCGAACGCCGGCGCCGGAAGCTGGTACCGTGGCCGCGCCGGAAGAGCCCCGGTCCGGGCGAGAGGCCCGTACGGGGCCATGAACGGGACCGTGAACCCGCTGCTGGACCGCGAGGAACACTGTCTACGGCTCGGGGAGAGCTTCGAAAAGCGACCACGAGCCTCCTTCCATACCATTCGTTGTAAGTTAGCGCTTTCCACGGTTCCTTTCAGCCGCTCCAGCAGCCTCTTGCCAACCTCGGCCCTCCAAAGTACAGGGAACCCCCTGCCTACGTCCGCTCTCTCCTCTCTTACCTCGTATCCTACTGGACTTCGACTTTTCCCCTTCTTTCCCCCCGTACAAAGTCACTGTTCCCAAACCAAACCATTCTTTCACTCCAACTCTTCTGCCTCATGGCCCCAAACCTTCTTCCGAAGTTCATTGGCCCCTTTCTCTTCATCGCCCCAGCCAGCCCTTCTTTTATGCCAAACCTACCCCTCTTTATTACCGAAGAACTGTGACCCCACACCAGACTCCAGTTCTTCCTCTAATCCACTCCCCTTTCTGATGACCCCACCAGGATTCTCCATGTTTAAAGGACTCTTCCTGTTTGCTCATGAGCCTCACCTGCTGCCTCCTATTTCATTCTCTACTTCCCTGTTGTTCTCAGCTTTCTTTCCTCCTCTTTTGCCCTGGGCACCCTGAGAGACTGCGCTTCATCCCTCTTGCAGCATCCGCATCCTCTCTGCGCCCCATAAATCTCCTTCCTCCAGCTTTCTGCGCCTCCTTTGACTTTGATGTCTTTTGAGGTCACTTATAGTGCCTTGACATTAACCCAAGACAGAGTCCCTTGTAGGTGAAGAGTAAAATTAGAATTGGTGAGCCTAGAGTAAGTTAAAGCTTGATCTATGTTTGGAAGTAGAAGAGACCAGGCATAAAGAATGTGGAAATAGTCATTATGCTGGACCTTCCTTTTCTACGTGATTACAGACTCTGTTGAGGGAGGGCGCCCCCATTCTATGTCCTGGGTAAAGATTTGGCTTTTACTAATTGGCTGACTGCGCATCCCTCTATGATTCACAAGCTCCTGGTTTCCTGTCTTTGTAGGGCTAATGCTGGTTAAGACATGTTTTTGTCAAAGGAGCTAATAGATGTGACTCAACGCATTGGGATATGGCGTGTTGGATAATGAAGTTCCACCTTTGTGTGGTCACTTGCCTTGCCATTACATTGCTATGCTAACTACTGAAGGCAGATCAGCTCTTTCAGAGAGGATATTGGGAATGTGATAAGACCATCATTTCTTGAGCTGTTTACTAAGTGGATATTTTAATAGAGTGAGGGGCAATGGGGAATTTAAATGAGACACTGGCTCACATGTGAACCTGGCTTGCAATTTGAGGCAGGTGTGTATTAAAATGGAGTAATTGTGTTTAAATTGCAATTCAGAAACACAGGCAGGATTAACCTCTGGAGATAAAGTTCAGCCGTGCACTCCCAGCATCTACGGGAGTATCTTTGTTGAAGCTATGGAATTTGAGTGTGGCAAATCATAATTTTGACAGTTCCTATGCAAAAAGAAATCAGCTTATATGATGCTGTAGCTTTCATATTTCATATAGGATTTTACAGCCACAGAATCTTACTCATGTGTTGTTGCTTTTGATCTTACAGCAATCCTAACAAAACTCTTTATAATGGATAATAAGCAGTAATTTTCATCTGTCTCTTGGGAGAAGGGATTATCTTTGCTTAATGAAACGGTATATAAATTCTGGCATTTTTTTCTTCAAAATAATCTAGATGGGGTTGCAGGAGAAGTTTGTAGAAATATAGATGAAACAAGATTGTCCTCAGTTGGTAATTATCGAGGCTGGATAATGGCGGTACATAAGGTTTTACTGTACTGTTCTCTTTGCTTTTGTATATGGGAAGTTTTCCACAGTGAGATAGTATTTTTTTTTAAATATTCTAAATTATTTGTATTTTCCGTTTATCTGAATATTCTTAAATGTAAATGCCTAGAAAACCCTTAGTATAAGTAACCTGATGGATAAATACTTTTTTTTTCATTTTCCTTTAGATGATTTTAAGCCAGCATCTATAGATACTTCCTGTGAAGGAGAGCTTCAGGTTGGCAAAGGAGATGAAGTCACAATTACGTTGCCACATATCCCTGTAAGTTTATTCCATTGTTGTTTCTTTAAAATGTGGAATCACAGTGAATTCTCATATTTTGTGTTATTACAATTTGAATTACCTACTGTTTAAAAAGTTCCTAATTTTCTAAAGTGTCACCATAAGGAAAAAGGGTATTTGGGGTATGGGGTGGAGTAGAATGCATATTTCCTAGGTGTTTGATTAAAAATGATTCTTTGTCATTTTCTTCAAGCTCCCATTTGCTACAAAGTAGACAGAGATCCTCCCTGGACATCTGGCCCCTCTTTTAGTCATGCATAGTTTTTCTCCCAGGCAGCTCCATAGAAAAAAAGCCATAGGTTCCATGCCTGTACATAGCAACAATAGCTTCGAAGCGTGGTGCCACGAGGCCAGGAGGTAGCATGGGCAGGAGCAGCACTCGCATCTCTCGGATAATACAGTATCTGGCAAAGGGTGACGTGTAGGCTGATAGTTTCAGGCAAGAACAAGAGGCTCAGAGCATTCATCTAACCGAGCGACAGGGAACCCAGTTAAAAGCTGAATTGAGAATTCTTGCGTAGAAGGGCTTTTGTGATGCCTTGCCCAAGGCCACACTCTGATCACAAACCCCAAAGGATTAAACAAAACACTTGTAGTGAACATGTGTCTTTGCCTGTCACAGCCTTGTCCTGGCGTACAATTAGTTCATGCTAAACAGTGATAGAATGAAAAGGCACTGGACAAGGTGACTTGGGAAGCTTTGTATTTGGGAAAAATTGCTTGTCTGCCAGTTCAGACTGCTGTTTTGTCACTCGTTGCCTTTGGCAGGATCATCTCCCTTTTGACCTTACATTCCCAAATGTAAAATGAATGGGTTTGATAAATGGTCCCTAAGGTCCCTTCCTACTCTAAATCTTTACTGTATGAGTGAGGAGCCAGTTTTTGATTCTATACAAAAGATTAAATCATATATTTAGCAAGTATTAATTGAGCACCTACTGTGTGCTTGTCCATTACTAGACACTGATCATATAGTCTTGAATAAAACAAGAGCATTTCTTGCCCTTGTGGAGTGTATGGTATGGAATTTAAATAAAAGGAAACGTAACGCTTGTTTTAGAAAATCAGGGGAGGCTTCCCTAAGGAAGTGACCTTTGAGTAGATCTGAAGATTGTTGAGGAATTGAAAGAGAGGGGGAGGGGCAGTTATTACAGGCAGAAGCCTTGTTAAAGTCCTAGAATAAAAAGATTGAGGAGGCTGAGAGAATGCCAGCGGCCTTCTGCCTTCTGCCCTAGAGCCCGCAGAGCCCAGGGGTGAGTGGTGCTGCTGGGGCCGAAGCGCTAGGTGGTCGGTTTAAAGATTTAATTATTTGACCTCAGAGAGTGGGGCAGTGATCAAAGGGCCTAGGCACGAGTGGCATGATGTGCTTACTCTGAATTAACCGGAAGAATGAGCTGCCCCTTGAGCTGCTCTGTTGGTTCCGGGGCATGAGGGCGAAGCCCTGAACTCTCCGATTGTGAGGAAGTATTAGAGATCTCTCACTAGTTTTACTTCTCATAGTGAAAGCTTCTCCTTGGTGTAATACAAATAATGGTAATTTTTTTTCTCAGTTCACACTTTACTATTACTTGTAACATTTCTTGAGTCCCTAGAATAATGTATGGTAATTTAAAAATTTTTATTACCTGTCTTGATTACTTAGAACCAATTGTACAGTCATAAGTTCTTGCTATATTATTTCCCTTTTCTTTATTTTTGCCTGGGAAACCAGGACTTCTTTTTGAGTTCTCTGATAAAAGGTTTGATGAGGTAGAGTTACCTGTAAGTTCAGTTTTGATATTCATCCTGGCGTGTTTAATTTTGATCATTTTATACGTTCCGTGCCATATAGGGATCCACACCACCAATGACTGTGTTCAAGGGGAACAAACGGCCTTATCAGAAAGACTGTGTGCTTATTATTAATCATGACACTGGTGAATATGTGCTGGAAAAACTCAGTAGCAGCATTCAGGTCAAGAAAACAAGGTATGTGAATAACCAATACAGAGTGATGTGACATTTGTATTTGTATTATCTGTTTAGTTGTTTTATAAGATTGTGAGCTTCTGGGTACTCAGTATCCTATCGATAATCTCAGTAACTCCACCTGTGTCTTCTCAGACAAATCCATAAAATATCTTTTCCTCAAACGAAGTAGAAAAAAAGAATGCTTTTAAGACCTGAAAAGTGAAAGCCATTTGGGAAAGGAGTATATCTTATTTCTAAGGTGATCCTATGAACCTCATGATTTTTGAAACAGTACTACTTAAAGGATAAGATTTAAATTTATAGGCTTATGAAAGAATAATTGAATAACATTCATGCTTTATTAGAGTGAAAACATTTCACATTCTAATTTTTTATTAGAACCATTCAAGATCATTAATCTACCAAAATAAAACTGCCTGTTTTTTGAACTAGTGTTCTCTCTTTAATATTTAGTTCAATAGTTATTACATGTCTGATAAGAAACCATTTAGATTTTAGTTTAAAATCAAAATTCATTCTGTAAATAGAAGTAACCTGGTGGTTCTATAGTTACATTGTGATACAGCAATTACTGTAATATAACAATTACATATTAAAGAGTGTTTCAGCCTGATATTTTTCTGTTTATGCTTCCTTGAGCCATTTTCTTCACTGATTTCACAAAAAATAAGAGTAGCTGCCACTTACTAAGGGGGTTATTGTATGCCAGGAACTATGATAGGTGCTTTAGGAATGATGTTTTTTCATCTATAAGTAACTCTTAGAAAGGTGCTATTGTTACCCTTAAAAAGCACGTACACGCAGACAAGGAGACTGAGGGTAAGTGAGATTGTTACCTGAGTCCAGCGCCAGTGCGCTCCAGAGCCCCTGTTCCTTTCCTGCTGCTTGGTGTATTTGTATTAATTGCCTCCACGAACCAGGTGCCGCTGTTATTTCTCCAATAGCTGATGGTTGTGAACATTTCTCTTATTACACAGTGCTGTCTGGGGACCAGCAGCATGTATCCCTCGGATACTTGCTGAAAGTGCAGGACCTAGTAAGTGAGAATCTGCATTCTAATGAGATCCTCAGACGATTCCTGTGCACGCTAAAGTTTGAAAAGTGCTGGGCTAGTCCATTTACAAAGGAAATTGTTAATGGATAGAATTTTCTCAGTTAGGAGTAGAACACTTGGCTTGTCTGCCAGCAAGAGCTGGTATGTGACAAAATAGCAAGCAGTAAATAGATCCTGGAAAAACTTGCAAACTGGCCAGTATTTCAAGGGCTAGTTCTATTTAGTAACTCATACACTTGTGATTATCACTTTGTATTGTTTCCTAGTCTAATAGTCATATTTTCTATTAGTAAAATGGGTTCTCATAATCACATTGTAGTCTACAGACCTGTTTTATCTGCTGCTTGTTATAAAATGTGAGCGCCTTCAGGGCAATGAGTCTGTTGTATTCATCTCTGTGTCTTTAGTGCACAACGCATAACTGGAATACAGTGGGTGGTTGTTGAATGATTAGCTCATGTGATAAAATTACAAATGTCAGTATTTTGCAGCAGCCTGAAAAGCATGGAGTTCTGCAGAGACTTCCAGGTGGTCAGTCCCCTGGACACATTCGACCACTGGTTTTGTCCCTCCGGTTTCATGTCTGTATCTCATTGCAGGGCTGAGGGGAGCAGTAAAATCCAAGCGCGGATGGAACAGCAGCCCAGTCGTGCCTCACAGCCATCACAGCCGCCCCCGCCCCCGCCCCCTATACCCTTTAGAGCTCCAACGAAGCCTCCAGCTGGACCCAAAACTTCTCCCTTGAAAGACAACCCTTCACCTGAACCTCAGCTGGATGACATCAAAAGAGGTAGGGTGCATGTTGTGGAGACATGAGAGCAACTTGGATAGCGACCAGGTGGTGATGCTTTTGTGGAGACCACAAGGCTGCCATATTGGCATGATGGCATGGGCACTCTCTGTCCTTTTAAAGTTCCTGCAGAGTTCTCCATTTCAAAAGTGATGGGGGCGGGGGCCTTTCCCACTTACCTCATTTGATGGGGAGCCTAGGCTTAGTGACTGGAATTGTAGCTGTCTTTGTTGCATTCTGCTTAGAGGCCCAAGATTTTTTTTTTAATCGATTTTACAGAGAGAGAGGAAGGAAGAGAGGGACAGATGGAGACAGACATCGATCTGTTGTTTCACTTTTTTTGCATTCATTGGTTGCTTCTTGTATGTGCCCTGACCGGGAATGGAACCTGCAACCTTGGCCTATTGGGAGGATGCTTTAACCAGCTGAGCACCAGCCAAGGCTGCAGGCCCAGGATCTAAACACGCGTGAGTGCTGTCTAAAGGTCCATATGGCACACCTTCAAGGCTTTGGAAGAAGAAAATTCCAAGGTGCTGGGGGTGAAAACCAAGTGTGCCAATGTTGTATAGCATTTAGGTAAGAGGGACATTTAAAATACCATGACGAATGCTTTGCACTACCATGAAGCTTATAAATAGGAAAGTGGCATGAGGACCAGTGAAATGGGCAGCGGCCTAAAAAGAGAAGCTTGGCCAGGCTCTCTTCAGCGCGCGCCTGATGTAAAGAAGCTTTCCTTGCTTTCTCTTCTAGGCAATGGATGGTTGTAGTTGTCCAGACTTAGGAAGGTATGAGAGTGTCGTAGTTCATATTTGTAAAACTTTATGAAACAAAATTAAATGGATAACAGGAGTAAACAGGGAAAGATAAAGAGCTGTCCTTCGGGAGTTTTCTTTTTCCACCTTATAGAAGTATTGTCTCAGCCTTTGCACAGTACACAATTGTTAAGCTGCTAGATTTTTATTTTCTCCTCGTGGATATTGGAATGCCATTTATGGAAGTTTTCACTTCAGTTGAACAGGAATTATACCAAGAATGGTTAGCTGTTCCCATTATGCTTCAAGGAACCCTAGATGTTTAAGGCCACATGGTGTGTTTGGACAGGAAAATCTCTTGCATATCCTTACTGTCGTCAGTGACATTGAAACACTTGGTTAAAACACATTTTTCCTTCCCTGTTTTACATCTGTAAGAAATGCAGTACCTGGCAGGCAGGGCTGTCAGTCAAATACAGAAAGAGGGCGGAGAAGGAGTGTTGTTCCACCACGCTTCTCCAGACACCGCGGGTCCTCCTGCAGGCTTCCATGTGTTCATGGGACATAAGTACTGGAAAGCACCCCAGATGCTGTCTGCCTGGCCCTTACTTTTTCCGGAGTGTCTTGGAAAATTCATTGACTTCCTCTTGAGTCTCCCTGCTGGGTAGAGGTAGATCCAAAACAAGCATTCAGACCTTCCAGTCCCTAGTCAGATATTTTCAGTCCCTTAGCACAATATTGGTCTTCTCTTATTTGGTGTTTAACCCTATAATTCACTATTTTTTTAGTAGATGAAGACAAAATATACTAAATTCATTTCTTACACAGAAGTCATTATCCTGAAGCAGTTTGCTTTTTGGTGATTTGGGGTGGATTTAATGTTTCTATTATGTCTCTGGAGACAGATTAGGTGTTTTTGTTTGTTGGTTTTGGTTTTGGCCGTTTTGTTTGTCCATTTCTAAGGAATCGAGAGGCAGGAGTTTCCGATTATCCCCCATTGCTGCTGGTTTTGCCAGTGTGCTAGTGACGGAAGGCTGCGCGTGCTGCCTTGAGAAGAGACTTTTATTGCCTTTTTATTCCAGAGCTGAGGGCCGAAGTGGACATTATTGAGCAGATGAGCAGCAGCAGTGGCAGCAGCTCCTCCGACTCGGAGAGCTCCTCGGGCAGCGAGGAGGACAGCTCCAGCAGCGGAGGCGAGGACAACGGGCCCCCGTCTCCTCCACAGCCGTCCCACCAGCAGCCCTACGGCAGCAGGCCGGCCATTGCCAACGGGACCAGCCGGCCGCAGGGAAGCACCCAGCTCATGAACACCCTCAGTAAGTGCGCTGTCCCTTTCCTGGATGGCAGGGGCGGCATGTCCGGCCAGAGGTCGAGCTTCTGTTCATCTTGGATGAGAATCTGTAAACCAGAAGATGTTTAAGGCATAAGAAAGGATCCTGACAAAGATAATTTGGAGTAGAAAGAAATAAATTATCAAAAGGTTAAAAAAAGGAAGCATGAAACTTCCTTTTTTTCCCTCTGTTTTTCTCTTTTCCTCACTGACACAAATTGGGTTTTATAAATTCTGGAAAATGCTGAAACGTGAACAGCTAGACTCAGCAAATACAACACTTTAGGGTACAGTCTGTCACATAGTGTCCCCGCTTCAGGTCTTTATACAGTCCCAAGAACCCACGGCCTCCAGACTGTGGTGGAACCTGTCCTTTTGGATGTCTTTAGAGACCAGCTAGCCTTTGGCAACAGGGAAAGGAAAAGACATTGTAATGCCTGGGTGGCTTCCAATGCAGTCGATACTAAGGTAAAACAGAACAAAAACAGATCCCTTTGTTTTGGAGATGGAGAGAGTGCTCTGTGTTCTTCTCACTTCAGAATCCTTATGAATGCTCTACCTTCATCTGACTTCCTTTGGGGAGGTTGGAAGATCTGGAGGCAATAGTGGAAAAGCTAATCCAGTGAACCCTGCTACTGTGGACCAAGCAAAGATAAATCTCAACCTCAGCACTATAGACATTTTGCACCAGATAAATCTTTGTTGTGGGGGGCTGCCTTGTGCATTATAAGATGGTTAAGAGCATCCCTGGCCTCTACGCACTAAATGCCAGAAGCACTCCCCTCTTTTCCCCTGGTTGTGACAACCAAAAATGTCTTAAGACATTTTGCCCTGGGGGTTGGGGGAGGGGCACAATCATCCCCATTGGAGAACCACTGCACTTTCTCTGCCTGAGTAGGTTCAACACTATTATGATATCAATTAAGGATACTGTCTGCTATTCCATTATATGGGCCCAGATTGTGGATATTAGGGTATACTTTAGTGCTCTTCTCAGTTGGCTAGGGATTGTAAGTTTCACATTGGGAATTTGGTATTCACAGTGGAAAAGTATCAGAAGGCTACTGTGGCTTTAACTTAGTCCTTCATCTTGCCCAGTCAATGCTGAATTACTCTTTTCTCTTAGAAAGAAGGAGCAAAAAATGGTGCAGTGGGTGTCACTACCCATCAGTGCTTTAAACTCCCTTTAGCTCTTTATGTGTCCAAGTCCTTCTGTCCAGCAGCTCTCAGATGGCAAGATGTTAACCTTTGCATGGCCTTCTGTAAAGTATTAGAGTTATTTAAACCAGGATCATCAATTGGAACCAACTTATAAACCCTAAAAATCACACTAATAGCACAAATTTCCTAAACCCTGATGTAAAAATATTTAAGATACTCAATAATTCATTTAAAAAAAACCGTCACATTTTTAAAAAATAATAATTTTGTGAAAAATAATTTCTGAATCAAAAAATATTTAATAAGAGTAACATTACTTTAAAATTTTGCAAATCTCTTTAATGTCTGGCTTAGCAGAAAGATGGATTCTTATATGTGCTTTCTGCATTCAGTCCATTGCCATTAGTTGTTTAGGTTGAAGGACATGAAGAAAATCTGGCGTCACACAGGTATGTAGTTAGAAAAGGAAGTACCTCAGGCTTGGACCCTCCTGAGAGGGTCTCAGGGACCCCGGAGTCCTCAGGACAAACTTGAGAAGAGCTGGTTTAGAGATTAGCAGTCTGGAAATACAGAAGTTCACTTTTGGTGTAGTCCAGTTGGTAGCAACTGGCTACAGTTCGTGTGGAAAATACAGTGATTAATAATAGTTTTCTGTACTCACAACTGTAAACCTAGTTTTGCCCACCCCTTTATTTTATTACCATGTATAAACATGTTTCTTTTGTATTTTTTTTATTAACACATTTAAAAGCCGCCTAGCCTCCTCCTCCCCTGTTCTGTCCCAGTAACAGCATTATTTTGCAGATACCAAAAATAGAATTTCTTTCAAAATGTTGATTGCACCAGTTTTGTCACTGAGCCAAATCAATTTTCTTTCCTACTAAATTGAATTGGTCTGGTTTTTCTGTAGTGATAGCCAAGGCAGTCAACCAAAGAATTGCGGGAAGATCATTTTTAAATTGTGTACTTTTGGTTTGATTGTTGTTTTTTTGTTGTTTTTTTTAATAGGAAATGACTTGCAGTTGAGTGAATCTGGGAGTGACAGTGATGACTAGAGCTGGCTATTTCGAAATCAACTTTTTGGTGCACAGATCTGCTACAAGACCAGGCTGCTTTGCATGGAGTCCATTGCCAAGAGGAAAGTGTTGTGGATCAGTGACTGTAGTAGGAATTTGAGGCTCTGCAGCTCTCAGATATTCAAGTCTTTAACTTAGTGGTGATGGGTGATTTTTTTCCGTGTAATTTTTGAACAATCTCGTATTTCAAAGTTTAAGTAGATCTATAGAGGAACTAACAGAATTATATTTCTGTTTGGTTAACACTGTTAATGAAAAAACAGGCAAATGTGCCCTGGTCTAGGTACTCAAAGGCCATTTCTTCACCAGGCCAGTGATTCCATTGTAATCCCCAGGTTGACCAAGTGGTCTGCACAAGTGACGTGAGCAACGGTCTTTGAGGGGCAGGTGAGAGGGGGAAGTCTCAAACCGCAGCAGAGAAGGGTGCTGAAACCACTTGAAAGTGTGGAAATGAAGCAGTAAGAAGTTTTGTCTGACTCAGCCTGACAAGCCTGTGTAGAAACGGACTTCAAGGGGGAGTCCTCAAGTGTCAGCTGGCAGGAGCCTGGAGCCTGGCAGTTCAGCCCCCTCGTTTACAAGCAGGGAAGGGAAGCACACCGCTGGCTTAGCCTCCTGCCCCCGTCCAGGCTCTTCCCACGGCTCCCTTTCGCGAATCTCACCTACTGGAACCAGAGGTTCTTGTACATGAGACTTACAAATGTGCATAGGAACTTTTATTGGATTCTTAAAAGATAAGAGTGTTGGGTACTTCCAGCTCAAATTCAGATCTAGACAGTCCTGAAGTACGTGAGGCTGGTGTAGCAGATTAAACCACTGCTGACACATGTGACTCACTTGAATTGGGGCTTTTAGTTCCATGTAGCTCCATAATACTAAAGTGTTTTTCATTCAGTAGATTTTAGTAGGGGAGGTAGGAGTGGAAGAGAGGTGTAGTGGAGAAATCTTTCTAAAATGAACCAGCAGCAGGTTTTCAAAAACCAGAATATAAATAGGACTTCTGCAATATGAAATGAGCACATTCTTTTGATAAGATGTTTATGCTTATGTGTTTGTACCACTGTTTGTGCCTGACTCCCAGACTGATTTGTAGTTTTATATAAAGTCAGAAGAAAGCCACAAGATTGCCTTCTGCAGTGTGCAGTTTCCAAATGAATCTGTTATTGCAGGAAACTGGTCACTAGTGAGTGTTTCAAATTGAGTGAATGTCCCGTAATTAGTTTGTGGGTAAATTAGAATGTCCCATAATTAGTTTGTGATAAATTGTCCCATTTCTGTAATTTGAATGAGTATGTCCTGAGAAATTTCCATCTACTTTAGTGAGTGGGTATCAGGAACATTAAGTATGATTTTCTTTCCCGGGGTCCCTATACTCAGATGGCCTCTCCTTCCTCAGCTAGAGGAGGGACACAGTCTGGACCAAGAAAGGACGTAGATGATCCAAGGTGGCAGCTTTGGTTAGGGTCGAGCCTTACAGTCACCGGCTTTAACTGCATAGCGACCCCAGTGGCCGCTGCCCTACCGACGGCCGGGGGCGGCGCGCCCTGCAGCCCTGTGCTCGGTTCTCAGCCCATCTTGAGGGCCAGTGAGTTCGATGGCATGTAGGGACTTATTTATAATGAATTGATAATTGCTTTATAATTCCTTAGTAATGACAGCTCAGGGAGGGTGAAGGTCATGATTGGGAGATATGAACTGTTACTGGATGTGGGAATGTTTCACTGCTCTTAACTTGCTCAAGTTGGAGCAGGTTTCAGGAACTTGAACTAAAACTCTATTTAAGCCTCTTTTTTTTTTTTCTCCCAAAGTCTTCGCATACATAGACAGAACTGTGGTTTTGGCATGTCAGGCAAAGATATTTGTTTCTGTAGGAAATGCTTGTATGTAGCACTGGGTTTGGCGAGTCAAGCGCTCTGAGCTTCAGACTCTCTCCTGTCGTCCGTCCTCCCGACCCTGCCCGGTCATCCTCAGGCGCGGCTCCAGTTTGGCTCTTTGCACAAAGCCTTCGGTGGTTCCCTCCCCTGCCCCCTCTGGCTTTACCCGACGGAGTAGGGAATCTTCTTTTTGGAAATCAAGAATTTGGCCTTACAGACCACTTCTCACAGATACTCTCACGCCAGCCAGACTGGTCTTGTTCTTCCTGCCTCTGTGCCTTCTCAGTGTCTCCCCCTCTTCCTGCCAGGCCTCACTCCTGAGGCGCCGTCTCCTGCAGGGCCTCTGTCAGACTCACCCTCTGCTCTTTCCAACCAACAGCAGTGCCGTGGGTGCCTCCTGAACGCCGTGCTTGAGCTCTGGTTAGTACGAACTCCTTAGAAGCAGAGACTGTCACGCTCATCTCCATCCCTGGGATCCGCAGGAGCAGACATTCGGACGCTTGTAGCTGGTGGGGAGGAGGCAGAGAGGGTAGACGTAGAGAAGACATTCGAGGCGTTTGGAGATAGCTGAAACTATTCATGCTGATTTTCATTATTTTAAAGTTTCCTAACTAAATTGTTAAAATTACCTTTTCTTTGTTTTATATGTCTACCATACTGGGGGGCATTAGGCAGGGTGTAAAGACCTAAGTCTGAGTTATCTGAGGAGTCATGGCAAGCCACAGTAAAGACATGATTTGGGAAAACAAAAACAAACCAGAGATTTATAATGATGCCACTCATTAACTATTTTATTTCTGTAGCAGGATCATTTTTTCTATGTGTGGTATTAATATGTATGTGCTTCAGCAGTGGGAAAACTTGAAAATTCCAAAATCCTTGCTTCCCTATTTGAAAGGCTGGTTGAGTAGGATATGTGTGGGTGTGTGTATGTGCGATGTATTTATTACATTATTTTGAAAGAGTAATACTATGATACGTGGATATATATATTAGGTACAGCCAAATTGGGCGTTTCCATTTGGCAAGGAAGGTAGGATTTCTGAAACTCAGGCCTTAACCAGTATGTTGGAAGACAAGACCAATCGAAGATTTATGAAATGTGTGTTTTTGTTGTCCCTGTTATTTGTCTTGGGTTCACTGTCTCATTCTTTAATGATTTTAAAAATTTTGTGCTTAAAAGTTTATTTTGCTTAATTATGAAGTAGATGTGCATGTTTACATTTATGTAAAATATTTGCTGTGTAAAGTTTTTTTGGTTTACTCTCAAAAGAGCACTATATTTAAGTAAAAATGAAGGTCAGCAATACACTTCTGTCTTCATGGGTTTTATTTTCTTACTCGAAGTCATGAAAAATGTAGGATCCTTTTAAGAATCCTTTGCGCTTAACCCTGATTATCTAAATTGATTCCTCAGTTTGGTGTTGCGCTCATTAGGACGTATATCTCAGCTTTAAAAGGTCTGTAAGTTCTAAACTAAAGGATGACTTTCATAAGCCACATGGCATCTGAGGCCATTTCACTTGATCTGGAAAGGCAGGCCTGGCTTTGGGTTTGAGAACCATGCAAGAGTTAAACTGAAGTCCTAGACATACCCTGGCCATTTTGGCTCACCAGATGCCTTCGCCTGGAATGCCGGGCCACACGCATACCTCTGGCTCCCAGTGCGCACTTCACAGCTGAAAGCAGCCCTGCCCGCTGCTTCCGCTCCACACCTCATCTCATCGGCAGCACTCGCACCTGCCTTACGGCCCTGGCTCCCCTGACAGCCTGTGAGCTCCTTGGGTGCGCCATGATGGTATTCCTTTTTTTTTTCTTTTTTTAAGATTTTATTTATTTTCACAGGGGAAGGGAGGGAGAAAGAAAAGGAGAGAAACGTCAATGTGTGGTTGCCTCTTGTGCACCAGCTACTGGGGACCTGGCCCGCAACCCAGGCATGTGCCCTGACTGGGAATTGAACCAGTGACCCTTTGGTTCGCAGGTCGGCACACCAGCCAGAGCCATGTTCCTTTTTAATTGTGGTATCTTTCACCTAATAGGTGCCCAGTAAATCTGGATTGAATACAATTACACATTAAGAGATCTAGGCCAGGAATCCTCTGGTGCTTATTCTGTAATTGATGGAAATAGGAGTGAGACTTGAACCAGGTCTCAGTGGGGAAATGGTGCCGTACATTCATCACCTAAGCACTGGCTGCTCAGTTAACTATTGCCACTACAGTGACATGTAACAAACCATCCCCAAACCCAATGGCATAGAATAATAAGAATTTAATTTGCTCACAAGGCTGGATTGGCCATTCAGACTAGGCATGGCCGGACAGTTCTGGTCTTGATTGGGCTCTTTCCTGTGCCTGAGAGTTGACAGGTTCAGCTTATTTAGGGTGTCTGTGGCCAGTGCAGCTGGGGAACTCAGGCAGGTTGGCTGTGTGTGTCTTAACCTCTAGCAGCCTAGCCTGAGCACATTGTTATGGCAAAGGCAGGGGTGCTGGAGAGGAAACAATCGCCTCTCTCACAGTTGCTAACATGCCATTGGCCAAAGCAAGTCACAGGGCCAAGGTCAGAATCAAGGAGTAAGAGGAATTGCAAAGTACAGTGGGAAGGTATAGATACGAGGAAGTGTGGATATGAGGGAAATTATTGCAATCAAGAACCCTGGGGCATGTAATCACTAAGGGGACCCGTCCTAGCTCTGGCTTTTCTCACCAGATAAAAGTCCCAGTGGGAGGTGAGACCTTCCTATTCCTGGCTCCTGCAGAGGGCACCAAACCCAAGCCAGTGGCTTCTGTAGGCTTGGCACTTCCCTCTTTATTCATTGCCTCCTCCCTGTTCTAACCTAAAGCTGTATTCAGGTTATCCATTGCTAAGTAACAAACTACCCCGAAACTTAGTAGCTTAAAACAACAACCATTTTATCTCGTGGAATCTGTTGGTTAGTAATTAGGACAGAACTTTGTTGGGCAATTCTGCTCTTTACGGCTTCAACTGAGGTCACTGAGTAGTACTCAGTTGGCAGATGGGCAGCACTGGAGAGTCCAGCGGCCTCACTCACATGTCTGGCACCGCGGTGGGGATGGCTGGAAGCAGGCTCATTTGGGACCGTCAACCAAAGGGCTTATGCAGCCTCTAACATGCTGGTCCCAGGAGACTCGGCATGATGGCTGCCTTCCCCCGGAATGAGTGTCCTGAGAAGCTAGCTCTATGGCCTTTTATGACCTAGCCTGGGAAGTCACACAGCGTCACCTCCACGGTATTCTACACATCAAAGCGGTCAGAAGCCCACCTAGATTCCAGAGGAAGGGACATAGACCCCACCCATTTAATGGAAGCATATTAAAAAGTCACCCACCCAAAGTATCCAACTTTCCTCCCTGTGTTTTTGGCCTAGTCTTCTGAAATTGCTCTCAGGTGAGCCATATCCCTGGAGCAGCAGCTCTTAAAATGGGGTCCGTGGTGTCCCCAGCATCCCCTGGTTCCTTGTTAGGAATCTAAATTCTCAGGTCCCACCCAGACCTGCTGAATCAGAAACTCTAGGGTGAGACCCAGAATTTGTTTTAACAAGCTCTTCAGGTCCTGGTGAACCTGAATTGAGAGCCACTGCTTCTGGACACAAGTCCCTCCGTGAGCCTCAAGTGGTGGCCCCTGACCGCGATGCCTGCGTTCAACTTCCCATCTAGCTGTTGGATTGAGCATAACCTGGGGCAGCGCATGAAGTAGAGTGTGGTTCATGGGTTGGAACATCAAAGAAAATTCATTGTTGACCTTGAAGAAACTACAGGGGCCCAAATAACCACAGATGAAATTCACTTGAGGTGCTAGGGTTTCTGGAGCAGAATTGCAGTGTTACAGGGCCCCTTTTCATTTCTGTAAAGCACAGAGGGCGGGGGAAATAGCCAGTTTGTCCCTTTAGTAAGGTGGTTTAGACTTGTCTAACTCTAAAAGTCAACTCTCGGAGCAGAAATGAACTCAGTTAAACCCCCCAGAGAGAAAGCACCCCTGATAAAGGCAACGTGAGTTCTTTTCCTCTGTTTCTCGTGGGGGTTGGATGAGGTGTGGTGAGGAGGCTTTAACCCATTACCCTTGTGTGATTTACAACCCTCTCAGATGGTTGCACATGAAGGTGAGGGGGAATAAAGACACCCCTGGATCTTCTAGTGCTAATGATGGGTTTTGCTCATGTGAACAATGTCCTTGGCCAATCGCCAAGGTCCTTGAGCTCCTTGTTATCTCACAAATGAAAGATCTGAGTTTCACTCAACATTTAAATAGGTTCACTCCACTCTAGGGGCAGGATGGGACTGACGACTCAAATTAACAGTTACTGGGCCATAGGCTGGACCGTTAATCATGATGAGGTTTGGAGATTCTTAAACGTTTGAACCAGATTTGCCCTCCCTGCCCCTATGAGAGTGATGGATGACCAGTGTGTCTGTCCCCAGATGCGCAGCAACTACCATTTTCCCAAGCACTGGTTTCTAAGTACTAGTTACCAAGCTTCCTTCAAAGACCTTACTTGGCTTACAAATCTGTCACTCAAACAGCTTTGCAGGTGGGCAGAGAAGGGCCCTGGGGCCTAACCCCGTCCCCACGGACCGGCCCAGGGAGTCCCAGCCACAGGTGGGTCCTTGGGGTCCGTAGTGCAGGCTTGTGCCTCTGTTGCTAGTGAAAGAGTAAAGATAAATCAGCGCAGACTGAGAGAGTACAAGTCTGCGCTGTGCCCTGCCATTCATCAGACTGCCCGCAGAGACACCGAAAAGCCAGCTGCAAAGCAAACAGGAAGTGATCTTTCTCCCAAGGTCACTGCGGCAGCTCGAAAGTGTCACTGTCACTCCTTTCTTTGAATGACTACTGCTTTCTTCCCGACAACACCGCCGGCCTCCCTTTGCTGCTCCTGCCACCTGAACAGAAATCACTGCGAGACTTTGGGACTAGAATCATGGGCTGTCAAAACTTTGCAGGGTGCAAGCCTGTGGGTAAGAACGGCCATTCCCCTCTAGCCTGGAAGACCTGAGCTGCGTGAGTCACTTGAAAGCAGAAGCGGTTTCGATTTCCAGCCTTAGTGCAGGATTTCTGATAAGGGTTTTCAGGCACATTTCACGTTTTCCTTAACTTTGTAGTTTTTGTTTGTTTGTTTTTATAAATGAATCAGGACCTGGGTCCACTTCCCAGCCCAGGCTTGATGGTGACCCCTTTATATAGAGACTGCTTTGCCTTGTGCCTGTCCCAACCCTGTTCGTTTACACCCGACTTCCACCCCACCCGTCCTCAAATCCTACCATCACCTTATCTTCCTTGGCTTGAGGCAGTGCCCTTTGCTCCTCGGGTGTTGGATCTTCCTACTGCAAGTCAGTAACCCTAACGTCGGTGGTCTTCAGGTTCGTCCTGGGTGGTATTCACCAGATGGGCCATTGTACAGCGAGCTTTGAGAACCACTGCCTTCCCCCACTGCTTAGCAGTGAAAGCTGGGATCCAAACTGCTGCCAAAAGTGAACTCATGTAACCAGCATCAAAGGGGGAAGAAAAATACACCTGGTCCCCAGAGAGGCGATTGGTTCTGCCTGCGCCACTAAATAATAATGACCCAGATAAAAATCCAACCCTTCCTAAACAATTTCTAGGTGTCAGAAATTCTAACCCTATGATCACTTAAATTCAACACAACCTTGAAACAAGGTTCTATTACCCTGTCTATTAATTAGAAAACAGAGACTTGGAGAAATGAAGCCAATTATGTAGGATGATTAAGCAGGTTGGTGCCCTCCAAGGCGGGATGCCCGGAACAGGGATCCCCTCAACAGGGATCCCCTCAGCCAGGTCCAAGGCAGTGCTGGATCTCCACGTAGTCATAATACAGGGCTGGGGGTGGGGCTGGGCTAGCCAACTGGGCTTTGTGACCTCTGGTTGTCGGTTTCCTCCCTTGTCCCTGAGGGATCAGGGCTGCTTCCAAATTCTAGAACCTTCTGCAGAACCTAGAAAGAAGACTTAAATTCAGACCCCTCATTCCATCCAGCAATGCTGGACCATTATTCCAAAACCCCAGGGAAGACAGAACCACAGTAGGGGAAAATCTGCCTTTATTTCTGGACTTCGCACTGGAGATCCCAGTACGAAGGTGGTGGCTTTCCATGGGAACAACGTCACCCCAGGACTTGCAGTAGAGGCTGAGGAAACCAGGCTGACTAACGTGCCCACCTCTGATGACGCCGCTCTCGGACTGACCCCATCTACTACAGCATGATGGCCTGCTAAGTCCCCAAGACATAGCCACATTAAATAGCTTTGTACAAAAGCCCAAGAGTGTCCGTTGCCTCTGGTAACAAATGGGAAAACGGGAAAATCCCATTGGAGGTTGCTGTTGGGGAGACATCTTCCCAAAACAAAGACGAGGCCCACTCAGGAGAGATGGTGATGAAAGGCAGCTCACAGACATGCAGGACAACGACCCTGTAGATGTCGGGAGGGGGCTCAGGCACACAGACATGAGGACCAGCTACGCACTATGGTGACAGGGGGGTCACAGGTGCTCAGAGGAGTCGGCAGGCAGCCGGGAGCTGGAGCTCAGGACAGAAACTGTCTCTGTCTAGGATGGTGGGTCCTGGACTGGAAACCCAGGGCCAGGTTCTCCTCAGCCCTACCGGGGCACGGACTCGGGTCGCCCTCTGCTAACGAATCTCCTGAACCAAAAATGGGCACCAGGGGCATTCGTGAGAAAGGAGGTCAAACTGCAGAGCCATGAGGTCGCACTGGAGCCCAGGGTGGCAAAACCACAAGTGCCACCCTTCGGGAAACATGGAGAAGTGGGAGCCGCGGCTCCACTGGTGTCTACAGGGCCAGGCACGCTGGCTGTGCCTCCCCCGCCACCCGGCCCAGAGCGTGGGTTTGGCGGCTTTCTCAGTACTTCTTCACGAGCAGGTCTCTTGCTGGACAACCTGTGCCCACCAGAGGCTGTACTGTGCTGTGGCTAGTGGAGGGGTCCCTCAGGGGGTCCAGAGCTGGGAGCCGCCCTGAGAGAATGGGCCCCCCTCCCAGCTGTGTGGCTCACAGGCCTGGAGAGACCCGGCTGCCCTGCAAGAATGCCCGTGTTTCCAGAGGTCAAAGGGCGGAGAGGCCTGTGCCCCAGACATCCCAGAAGCCCCAGGCGGGATGAGGACAAACAGCCTGCAGGTCTACATGTGTCTAACAGTGCTAAGCCATTCTAGGGCCTGGGGCGGCCGCACTCTGGAGGGCGATGGGCCCTGAAGGTCGGCGGCTGGCCCGACAGGAGCTATGGGTCACAGTCCCCAGGCTGCGCATGGGGGAGTTCTCCAGTACTTTGGATTAAGACAGGATGCAGTGGTCCTGAGTTCTTCCATTCGGACTGAGTTAAAAGCACGTCTTAGCAGCAAGAGTTTGTTCTTGTTTTTGTCAAATGAAGGTGGTGAAACTGGACCGGGCAGGTGCGAGGTCAGTTCAGTGAAGGTGGAGAAGCTGCTGCAGGTGCGTGCGACGCAGCCCACCTCCTGGCGTCCTCAGGTGAAGTAGCGGCAGGGTGTGGAGTCGATGTAGCAGTAGGGGGTGCACTGCAGGTCCCCGTACGACCTGAGGAGGTAGACACAGTTCAGGGTGGACACAGGGCAGGGGCAGGAGAGCTCCCACCAGCCCTCAGGAACGAGCCACGTTCTAAAGGTCACCTCTAGGGACTTTTGGTCAAACATCATCGAACAGGAGCCACTGCTGCCAAGGGCTCTGTAGAGACTGTTCTCATTCTCATTTGAGGTGAGGGGTTTGGGGGAAGTTGAGTCCAGGCCTCTGGGGCTTTCTCCCTTGAGCCCAGCTGAGGGATCTGAGAGGAAGGAGTGGGTAGCCTTCCTATTAGCAGCGTCTCTGAGAGACTCTCCCCCTCTCAAGGCCTCAGACATTTCCAGCTCCGTCCATTAGATCGCGCTGCACTGAGGCAAATGTTCTATTGCTGTGCAGTCCAGTGTGGCAGCCACTGGCCCTCAGTGGCTACTGAGCTCCTGAAATGAGTATAGTGCAACTGAAGGATGGGATTTTAAATTTAATTTTAATTAACTTAAATGTAAATAGCCACAGGTGGCCAGAGGTTGCCATACTGGACAGTGCAGCCGATACCTTTGTAAGCCCAAGTTATAGCCCTGAAACAGCGTGTTGAACATTCCGCCCACATTCACGAGCAGCCCCTGAGGCTTCCAGGGGCCACTGTGTGATCCTTCACTCCATGAGCGACTGTCTGCATTCAGCTGTCTCCATGGAGCCATCGAGCAGCTCAGACCTTCTGCCCACTTCCTGGCAGGTGCCTCCTTACCTAAGGAGGGGGCAGTACACAAACACAGATGCCGTGGCCACCTGGCCAAGCCTAAAGCGCTCAGTCTTGGGGTGACTACAGGTCTGTAATTCCCACAGCATGGTCTGGAATGTTGATATGTGTTTGAGGTGGGGTGGGCATTGAAAAGACCCCTTTGAAGAGATTACAGGGAGGGGGCCGTAGAGAAATAGGCCTGGTGTCTGTCCCCAGCTCTGTCAAGGGCCCGGTGCCAAGCTTAACCAAGCTTAATCAACAAGGCTGATGAGACTGGACTCCGGAGAGACTTAGGAGGGACGGGGGGCGGTGATCCACGCTGGAGCCAAGGGAGAAGCAGGGCATGGACTGGAGGGAGGAAGAGCCTCCATGATTTCCCTGGAGACTAAACAGCTCTAGTTCTGTGAGGTTTAGCGGAACACGGCACCGTTTTACACCTTGAAAGGACCCTAGGAGGCCACATCCTGGGGATGGAATCAGTGCCTCACAGGGCCAGTGGCCCTCAACTGGCCTGGGAGACGGAGCCATGGCCAGAAGAGGAGGTGGGCAGCGTGGAGGCCAGAACACTAGAATACTTATCCCGAGCAACGTAAAGCCACACGGAAGAGTCTCAGAAATAATTGGGGGGGGGGGGGGGGGGGTTCTTCCTTGGAGGGAATACCAAGTTCCTGGGGTTGTCTTGAAGGAGCCACAAGCCAGCAAAATAAGATATTAATGCTGGTGTGGTCTCACTTGTACCCACGGGGCCTGCCCAAGGATGAGGGGTTGTTCCAGAGAATTGAGGTTACACAGATGCTAAGAGTCTTTGAAATACCCTGATACTTCCACTGGGCTTCCCTCCCAGGCCCACAGCCCCGAAGACTAATGTGGTCACGGTGGCCACTGGGAATGGGATCTGCTCATACAGCGGCGACAGCTGAACTTAGGGACTGCTGCTCCCAGGGGCCCAGGACGGAGCTGGTGGCTGTGTCCGTTCCCACACAGTGGTTATGGGTTTATTGCCTGTCTCCTGCAGGTGAGCAGGAACCATATATTATGGTATTGTTACCATGCCTCAGTGTCTAGAAAGTACCGGGAACCTAAGATGCTCGCAGAATTCTTTGTGAAGGAAAGAAGAGACATGAGGAGGGAAGGAAGAAGAAGAGGAGGAGGGGAGTTACAATAGCATGTGAGGCCATCCCTACCCAGGGAGATAGGTCTCGCACGTCAGCTGGCCGAAGTCCAAGCCGTCACAGTCTTCTACACCCTTGTGCAGGTGACCATCTCCACAGTATGCCCGGTGACAGCCTGAGAGGACACAAGGAAGTGCAGCCCTGAGAAAGGGCAGGGACAGGCTTGCCAGCCTGGGCTGGGCCCCAGTCACTAAAACGGGCTTTGCTGCTAGGGGTCTATCTGGTAAAATGTGCCTAAAGGATCCACGCAGAGCATGCACCCTCTCGAATGGACCCCCATGAAGCTTCAGACTTATCCAGGGACTGCCCCCAACCCCAAGCCCCACACTGGAGAATTAAGGAGACACAGGCTCCAGCCCGGTCGCACCCCTCGTTAGCCGGGGGTCTGAGAGCAGCCCCTGAGCATCTTGGGACCTCGGTGTCCTTACCGAGGTCCGGGGCATGGGCACCAGCTCCGCCTCACAGGACCGCTGTGGGTTCCCGTGAGCTGAGGGTGAGGAGACTGTGAGCATCGGTCACGAGAGGCAGCCGCGGGGGGTCTGGTCTGTTACAGAAGGCTCCCTGCTTCTCTGGGGAGCCAGATGCTCTGGGTGGGGTGTCTGTTCTCACACAAGGGGAGGGTTTGGGATACGGAGCCCACCCTCATTGTTGCAGGGCTTTGAGGTCGATAATTCCTCCCTGCTATGCGATCTGTGGGACGGTGTTTGCAGGAGGGGCAGAAGGGACTCTGGGCAAGGCGGGCACCCTGCGGATCACCATCCCAGGAACCGTCCCAGGCCAGCCACACGGAGAGGCAGCGAGCAGTTTCTCAGCCGCACACCCACCCCTGAGCGCATGTCCTCGCCGCTCCGTCAGCCTCTGAGCTTCCTGCAGGCAGCACCTGACTGCATCTACACGTGCCCAGCCCTGTGCAGAGCCTGCTCCTCACAGCAGGGGGTTAAAAATAATCCAGTGAAGGCATGTCAAGCCCTCACTACCCCCAGACCACTCACACACGCCTGAGCTCACAGAGCCTCGGAAGACTTAAGCAGTCAGGACCGACGCACTCATTTCTCAGTTGAGAAAACAGAGGCTCGCAGCCGTGACTGGCCCATCCGCTCCCTCCCCAGCAGCCTCGGGGAGCTGAGGGGGAGCTGGTGGCTCTCAGGGTCTGCGTGTGGACTGTGTTCTGAGCCTAAAGCCCATGCGTTCCCCCTCACCTTCTGCTTGTGTTGCTTGGTTTAAGGGGAAAAAAAAAAAGGCAGCGCAGCAAACCCTCGGGCGCCACACTGGCTAACGGCCCCGTCCGGTCCCGTAGCACCCGAGAGCCTTGAGGACAGCGCTGCTGGTCCACTTTCCATAAAAAGGGCTGTGCTGCCTAGGCCTCTGTCTGGTATAAGTGAGTCCTGGGTCAAAGGCCTGACTTCCTCCCTTTCGCCTTTCACGCCTGTATCGCCCTTGTCCTTTGACAAAGAATGTGGACTGGAATTTGGATTTGGCCAAGAAGTAGGATTAAGAAAAAAAGGAGCACCTGGTGGCTTCTCTGGGGACAAGACCCTTGACCCCAACCCCTGATGACATGCCTGGATAATGGAGGTGTTAGCACGTGGCCTCAGTGAGGCAGGCTACCCTCACAACAGCTTAGGTTCGCCCCTCTGGTGTTCGAACTGTCCCGAACAATCGCGGCTGGTGTCCAGGGCTTGCCCTGGCCCCCACCCTGACGGCGAGTCAAGCTGCAGGCTGGGCCCCACTCACTGATGCAGTCGTCACCCACATCATTGTTCCCGTCGTCACACTCCTCCCCGGGCTGCAGGACCCCGTCCCCACAGGAGGCACGCTGGTCTACAGTGTAGTCCACAGGATAGAAAGGGGTCAGCTGGCCAAAGAAACACACCACAGTTACCAAGGGCATTACACCAGGCAGCTGCAGGCAGGGCAGGCCCTTGGCACTGGGGCAGAGGCTCCGGGTCCGGGGAGGCATTGCTGAGGAGCAGCCCCTGCTTCCTCCTGGGTGGGGAAGGCACTCCTTTCTGTCACCCAGAGCTCTGCAGTTGGCAGGGAGGCTGGGCCAGGTCAAGGCAGTGACCTGGCAGTGCGGGACTTGTGAACATCTGGAACCATGGCTCAGAAAAAAGATTCTGTTTGGGGAGCAGAGGCACGGAGAGCTGCTCAGGAACAGAGCGAGCGAGGATGCTCAGCCCTTCCCTGTAAACAGACTGCAAAAGGCTCTGTGCTGGGCCTGACCGTTGGCCTTCCCCACCTTCAACGTCAAGTCCCTCTCCTGGGTGGGGTACGTCCCGCATGCCGGCCTTGTGGTACCTGGATGGGGAGCCAGCCAAGGCTGTCCTTGAAATACAGAGATCTCTGGTCTTTGCGGAAGGCAAGGGCATTTTTGGTGTTCAGCCTCTCAAGCTCCTCCTGGTTGTTGACCACAAAAATCTGCCAGAGAACACAGGGGTGAGGCTTTGAGAAAACTCTTCCACAGGTGGCAGGGGAAAAGCTGGAGGACACAGAATTGCTATCCTTGCACTTGTTAACAGCGGGAAGGCGTTTGCATGTTATACTCTAGCGTTCCTCCTGAAGCGAAGAGGAAAGTCTTGATCTCCATATCTTTTCAATCCAATTTCTAATGTCACCATTTGAAGTAAAAAAATGTGCTCAAGACTTAAATAAGAAAGTGAGGTCATTTAAGCAAGTAATTCAACATCTAGAAATGATTCTTAACCAAATTCTTACACTCAAAGATGTTCATTACAGTGTTGTTCACATTAGTGAACAGCCTGGGCACACCCTATAAATATCCAATAACAGGGCACTGGTTCAATAAATCACAGCACAACTTCATGACAGATGGATGATTATGCATCAATTCAAAGGCCATTTATCATGAACCGATGTCCAGGCCTTACTTTAAAATAATCCAGTGGAGGGTGGGCAGTAGTGAATAGGCATAAAGAGAAAAGAAGACTGGCCATGAATTGATAATTATTGAATTTGGGTAAAGGGTACATGGAGGTTCACTATGTTATTTATTTTGCCATTATATTTATTTGAAATTTTCTATAATTTTTTGTTTAAAAAGACAAAGAAGCCCTGGCTGGTGTGACTCAGTGGACTGAGTGCCGGCCTCTGAACCAAAGGGTCACTGGTTCGATTCCTAGTCAGGGCACATGCCTGGGTTGCAAGACATGTCCCCAGTAGTGGGTATGTGAGAGGCAACCACACACTGATGTTTCTCGCCCTCTCTTTCTCCCTCCCTTCCCCTCTTTCTAAAATATATAAATAAAATCTTTAAAAATAAAAAATAAAAAGACAAAGAAAATATTCCAAAATGGATTCATAACCAAATGGATATTTTGATTTTTTTCTTTTAATTTTTCCCTTATTTTCCAATTTCTTATAAGTGTGGACCCAATGTAAGTTTTACTAAATACATACATACATACATACATAAAACATAAGTTCTATTACAATGCACCAAGAGGACCAGGTGAGAGGTCCTGATGAATAACACCCCAGATTTCTCCCAGAAGAAGCTTACCGCAGGAACTCGTGGGGAGTGGGGCCCGTACACGGATTCCTCATATGAAGGGTTATTCACATTCATGGGGGTTCCACAAAGACATCTTCCTGGCGGCCCGGGAAATCCTCTTTCTCCTTTGGGTCCCATTACAAGTTGTCCTAGGAAGCAACAGACTGCTGTATTACTAGAGCCAAGAAAGAGAAAACTAATCAGCCCAGGTTGATGTGCGCAACCTTCACAACAGAAAGAAGGTTGAAGTGCACAGTATTTCAGGGCAGGCCTGGGGACAGGTTCAATGAGATGCTTTTGATCCAAGATGTGAAGGAGGTGACGTCTTCTCTGGGTCCCTTAACCCAGGATGTGGCAACACCTTTCCCAACCCTTCTTCTCCCTTCTCTCTCTTTATATTTTAGGTAATAGACTGATAGGCATTCTACTTCCCAGATTCCCTTGTATCTGGAGGTGACCAAGTGCCAAAGTGTTGGCCAATGCAAGGTATGGGGTGGGAGGAGGGTTGGGCATCTGGGAAAATTTATCCTGAAAAGAGAGAATCATAGCTGGGCAGAGACATAGCTTTCCCCCTTCTTCTTCCTGCCTTGATATAGACAAGATGGCTGGTGCTGCAGCAGCCACACTGCAAACATGAAGTAACAAGCATAAGATGAGAAGTCAACGTAAGGGACAAGCCAGGGGCTCATGGGCACTGGAGTCCTGACTCTTAGAGGCTGAATTAAAGTGGGCCACTGTCCACCTCTTGACTTCCTTATTGGATGCAAAAAACAATCTTGTCTGTTTAGACCATTATCAACAGGGGGCTGCCTGCAGCTAAACAAACTGTTCACTGATAACTTTTAATGTTTTTAATTCATTTTATGTTGTTCTTGTATATAGGATCTTTACAAAGGAATCTCTGAGTGTGCAATTTCTTTTATATCTTTTGGAAGAAAATGGAAGTTCAAAACTGCTCAGCCCATTTACTCTCCCATGGTCCTCAGAAGAGTATCCTGAAAAGATATGATCAGGAAATTTACGCCCTGCAATGCAGGAGACCTCCCAGGGTAATAGTTCTCACCTTGACTTCTAAAGGCTCTGATGCCCAGGTACACCCCGTACCATTACGACTGCTGAGAACAGAACCCAGGCAACTGTACTTTCAAAAACTCCCAAGATGATTCCAGTGTGCACCAAGGTAGAGAATCGCTGGCCTAGGGAACTGGTCTTTGCACAAGCCATTCCCCCGCCAGATCATTCTCCCATTCACCCTGCATCCCTCCCTCCCCACGGGCCTCCTAGCTCACTCCTGATCTGGGGTCAAACATCGTTATTTCGGGGAAGCCTTTTTGAATTTTTACACTGTGTCATGCTCGCCTCAGATACAATTCCATAGTTCTCTATGCCTTTTCTTTAAGGCATTTATCTCTGTTTGTGATTCTATGTATTATGAGTTTATCCGATCTTCCCCCATAGAACGTAGGTTCCACAAGGGCAGGTCTGATGTCTGTTTTCATTCACCAGGGCCTGACACACAGTAGGGGCATGGTCCATGCCTGTTGACTGAGGAGTGAATGAATGAATGAATGCAGACTAACTAGAAAGAAAAGATCTTCAGAAAAATCTCAATGTCACACTTCTGTCAGCAGAAAAGTGCTGGAGCAAGAGCTCCAATCAATGGGAAGAGAGGAAAGAGAAGAAAAGGTAGAAACTAAAAAATGAAATGGGTACCCCTCCTCCTGGGAAAAGAGTGGCGAATCTGAATACCAACCAGTCACTGGTGTCAAAGAATAAATCACCCAGGGCAGACAGCAACTGGAGACAGAGTTTGCAGATCCCAGAAGGGCAAGAAATAAAATGACTGCAGAGGAGAGGCCTGGCCAGGAACCAGGGAAGCAGCTGCCGCTGGAGGAGGGGGCCTCAGCGGGAAGACCCCAACCCTGAGCCGTCACAAGCAGGCTCGGAATGTCCAGGGTCAGAATGCTGCTGGTATGAGGGGAGGGGTGCTTGCCAACATCTTATCCCAAGTCATGGCTGTTCATTCTAACAAGAAATAGGACTATCACTCCGTGGGAGAAGCGCAGGTCTTGTGGAGCAGAGCCCAGAGAGACAGAGATTCCATCAGCCCGGGGACATCCTAGTAATTAGGCTCCTGGGGAGACCAAGGTGGGAGAGCTCTGTAACCAAGGACGCGGAGCGGCCCTGGGCAGCCTGGCTGCAGGCTCTGGGGCCCCAGAGTTGGTCCCATTATCCAGTGACTTCATGCTGAGGCTGAAGTTGGAATTCATGTTTGGCTTAACACTGTATCATTCAGAAGACAAACATCCAAGAACACTGGTGCTCGGGGGAGGACGGCAATTCCCAGGTACCACACTGATTCACTTATACCCGGCGTGGGTGCAGGGAAGACTCAGCCAAATTTGTAACGTGGGTACTGCCAATTGCATCCTAAAAGCGTTTTGCTTTAATCCCTGCCCTGCCCCCCAGCCCGTCTTCCTCTGTGACTTGGGTAATAAAAAGCTCCCACTGTCTCCACATCTCCCAGCTTCACCCTGTCCCACAGCGTTGGGCACCAGAACCAGAGGTAGCCTCCCAATACGGCGACAGGACGTGGCAGGGAGCCGGCTTCCTGCCACCACTGCAGTTTCCATGCCTGTCCCTCCCAGCTGTTAGGAGGCATTTGTTTCCCGGCCTGTTTCCTGCCAGGCTGCATGGAAGGGCACAGCTACCCGAACTTCCCCGCTCCGGGCTCTCGGAGCAGGTCCAGTGGGCCTGGCCTGGTCCCCGCCCCTGCAGCCAGGGGGCCAACTCTCCACCTTTGCCCAGGGAACTTCCCGTCTCCGTGGGCTACTGCAGTGCAGGTAGGTCAGAGAGGAGTCTGGGAGAAGAAGGCAGAGGAACCACCGCAGGATCGTCTCCACACCCCCCACGCTCCCACTCTGCCCCTGCAGAGGCTGCACGGCTGAGGGGCAGAGTCTTGGATTCGAGAGTCACAGGCTGATCCTGGACCAGGTGTGGCCACCAGTCAGCTCTGTGACCTTGGGGAAGCCCCTTCACTCTGAGGCTCAAAGTTCTTATCTATAAAGGGAGGGTTGGACTAGCCCAGGAGAGTTCAGCCAGTGGTCCGCAGAGCCTGAGGATACCCCAAGGTGGATTGGGGGCAGGGGTTCTGGAACTCTGGGAAGAAATGAGCAGAATCTTGGGTAGACATTTATTTTTCCCCTGACAGTAGGCTTAGGACTTCTATCAGATTCTCAAATGTATTCTTAGGGATCGCTTTTGGGGCCTGATTATCCAGCTGGACCTGGGCATAGGGAAAGTGTATTTTAAACTTCTCCTTCCCTTTCCCTCGAACCCTCCCCCAAAACTTTTCCAAAGAGTAGGATCATTGCCCCATTTTCTTCAGCCTCGTCATTCTGGGAGGCTCCCAGAAAGGAAGTGACTCAAAGGAAGGCACAGGGAGGGGACATGAGTCCAAAGATGGCCAGCACCCTGCTTTCCTGCTGTGCAATACTGAGGTGGGACAGACTGAGAGCCTGCGTAGCCCCACAAGTGCCTGTGGGGACCAGCCCCACCCATCCCACCTGCCAGGTGCTGGGGGATGTGAGGCCAGCTCAGCCACAGACTCTGCCTCAGGGGCTGGCCATCTAAAGGGGAGATGAACACATGTGCAGAAAACAGCTACAAGTGGGGGGGAGACAGCAGAGAGACAATGTGCAACGGGGGCCCTGGGGAAGGAGACCTATTCATTAGGGACCAAGGAAGGAGAGGATTTTCTTGGGTGAACCGGAAGATGACAGGAATGCCACTTTAGGCCTGTGGGCCCAGACAGACTGTAGCAATATGCCCAGCTCTGCAGAGAGCAGGGCACCTGCTGGAGGACAGAAGGCAGCAAGGCTGGGATCTGGCCGAGAATGGCGTGGTGGAGGGGAAGGGGACGTGAGCACACTCAGCTGCGTGAGACGGAGCTGGGAGACCAAGGAGAGAAAGCAAGGCTACACTGGCCCTGCTAAAGGGATGGGGCTGACAGGACAAAGCAGCCTCTTTGTCCCAGGGGGTCCAAGCGAGCTGCTTCTGGCCTCCGGGCCCTGCCCTTCTCACCCCACCCCAGGCCCAAGGAGGAAACTGGAACTCAACTCAGATGAGGGCTGGCCTTTATGGACAGATGCATACATTGAAGTCTGAGCTTGCTAAAGACCTCCTCATGGATCCATACCACCCCCCACCACATTCCCTTGTGAGCACCTAAATGCCCAAGGACCAAGAGGGTCCCTTCCAAAGGCAAAACCCAGGCTTCAGGCCGTGCTCTCAGTCCCTGGCAGCTTATAGTCGTGGGACTCCAGTGAGCACTATGCAAAAGAAGGAAGACAAGATGGAAGGACCCCCATCGGATTATCTTAGTCAACTCAGGGAAACAGAGTATGGGGCAGGACACATGGCCTAGGCTGCATCTCAACTCAAGGTCCCTTAACAAAATAGAAATAGGTGTGACAAGATGACTGATTGGCAGGTAGCATATTTTGCCATGTATAATGTGCACCCATGTCTTTGTGTGCATTATACATGGGAATATTATACCCATTATCATACCCATGGTATGTAATCATTATCTCCATGAATAATGCACATCCTTATTTTCCCCTCAAAAATTTGGGCAAAAAAGTGCACACGATACACAGCAAAATATGGTGATCGATGCTTGTTCTCCCAGTATTTCAAGCTGATAGCAAGAGTGGGTCCTTTTTTGTCCTTGCTAAAAACAGGCACTATTTGAAAACTTCTGCCTTCTGTTCTCAGAAGAGAAAAGCTCCTAAGAGGAGTGGTGGTGTATGAAGAGTAATAAGAGAGGGGACTAGAGACTGGAAGAAGAGGCATCCGCCCCAGTCCTGGAGAGAATGAGGACCCCCCTGGTATCCTGGAGAAGGGATAAGGTCTAAGAAAAATGACTGTGGGGCACTCCTTGGCAAGTTGAACCACCTGGACCAGGATTCCCAGCCTTGGAAATGTTCTAATACCGGAGGATGGTAGTCACCAGGTACCTGCGGACCACATGGATGCATTTCAGGGGTAATAGGGCAGATAAAAGGCTGGAGGGACCTCTTATGCTGTTTTTCTGCCATAATTCCCAAGATCTTTGGCCAAGTCTTTTGTGGCAGTTGAAGAAGTGGAGAAAACCCCCGTAATGCCTAAAACTGAATTTTCCTGGCATTCTGGCAGATTGGAGTCTGAGCCAGTTTTAATTTGTTTTAAAGGATCTAACATGATATGATGGTTCACAATCATCCCCTGACATGGTTGCAAATATATTGCCATAACTACAGGGGGAAGGAAGGGGTATGCAATGTGGCATTTGGTCTTCATTTTCTCAAGAAAAAAATTGGAATTAAAATTGTTTTGATTCCTTTCATATAACTGAGGACAAAGAATCTTGCACAATCAGTAAACAGTCTTCTTGGACCTAGAAATGCTGTGTTTATACAGACAGTGTGCTATGAAAGGCCTTACTTTGAGTTGACAGAGAACAAATTAAATCAAAAGTCTAATTCATCATATTAAGTAAAGTAAACAAGGTAGCAGTGTACCTGTGCCCTTTAAAAGGCTTTGATTTCTTTTTACTGTCTCTTTCTATAGTCAGTACAAATCTATAAGGACTCTTTCCTAACACTGTGTAAAGCAAAAAAACTTGCAATGTTATCTTTACTTCTAGGCTTAAGAGAATTGCTTAGAGCCATGAAATGGTTTTCTAGAAAAAGGTGTTAGTTGATGAAATATGTGCCTGTTATTCACTTAACATACAGACATCACCAAAATAATCTTTTTCCTCTCCTCTATTTGTTCTCCAAAATGGTAAAGACAAAGTCAGAACAATGTTTATCTTTCTTGTTTAAAAGTTGAATACGCCAAATTGTGGAGAAATTATAAATATGTTGAAGTTCTTCTAGCAGTTTCTAATTCAAAACAGATCTCTGCCGACATCTCCTCATGCTCTCTCTGGGAAGGCTGACCAGGAGTGTGACACTGTAGGTCAAGTGAAGCAGTGTAGCTCTTACCTGCAGAAGGGGGTCCTGGGGGGCCTGGGGGACCCAGACGACCTGGTTGACCAGAAGGCCCAGGCTTGCCTGGTGGGCCCATGACTCCACTCTCTCCCTTCTGCCCCTGACAGAGAGAAAGGCAGAGCCTGTTATGAGAGCATGGCATGACCAACTTCCTTCCCAATTTATCTCTAAATCAGGGACCAACTTGCACTTTGGAGCAAGAGCCCAAGACAGGATGTAGCCCCAGAAGTCTTGGCCACCAAGCTCCAAAAGAACTCAGGATCACTGTCATCTGAGATGGTGATGGCTGCAAGTTTGCAGACATTATTTTTTGCTCTGTCCTAATGATATGGCTCATGACAGCTGAGAAGACAATCCAACCAACTCCCCTCACTGGGCAGATGAGGAAATAGAAGCTTAGAAAAGAGCAGGAATTAATGCAAGTCACCTAGCATCAAGGCAGCAATGTTGAGCCTAGCACTCAGGCATTCTGCCTGCTCCCCAAAACCATTTCTATTTTATCACAAGAGCTGCCTCTGCCCAATGGCTACCTACTGACCTCAGGATAAAGACCCATAACATGTATCCCAGATCATAACTATACAATTATTTTTGTGGTCATTTCATCAATGTCCCCCCATGTGACATAAGCTCCCTACAGGCCCGAATCTGTCTTGTTCACCTCCCTTCCCCAGATCAAATGAAGGAAGAGAAAGAAGCTGAAAACACAAAGGCCAAGTAGTTTTGTTCAGCTGTAAGTAAATCGTGCCACTCAAAGATTTGAGTTTCCACCTTGGCCACAAGACCCCGGGTAACTCATGTCATTGCATGGTGCCTCATTTTCTTGTCTGTAAAATGGGGCCAGTAAATATCTGTGTACACCTGCATGGTTTATTGGGATGCTAACAAAGATCTCAGAGGTGAAAAGGGGGTTGGCACAGAACCAAGGGCTATGTGGGGCACGCTGGTTATCACAGCGACTGGCTTGGTTTCATCTTTCTCACACTCTTAGGAAAGTCCTGATTTCTTAAGGGAGGCCCACTTGCAGTAGCAGTCATTCCGCTTGGGCTGGTGTCCCCTCTGCTGTCGGCTCTGGGAGGGCCAAGAGCAAAGAATCCCCCTCAGGGCTGCCCTTAGGAATGACTCAGAAACCAAGGCCTGTGGGTTCTCTCCCCACAGTTCGCTCATTGTCCGCCTTTGCCCCAGGCTTTACCAGGACAGTGATTGACGCCCGACATTTTTGGCCTGGGTCCTCTTTCTACATTTGTGCCTTGGCCGGCTTGCCATCTGATGAAATGTAATCTTCCCCAAGTCTGGGAAACAAGCATGCCAAGCACTCCTTTCCAACCACCAAGGTGACACGTAACTTACCTCCTCGTCACCATGGCCCTGGGGCTCTCTCAGCAATGTCCAAGGAGTTTTTAAACTCTTAATGTAGGACTCGGGGCTTAGAGTTTGTTTCTAATTCCATCCCGATGGAGGGAGTCTTAAGCCTTAGCCCAAGGTGAAGCATTCCATGAGGTCACCAAGATGGGTCCCAGAATGGCAAAGGAAGTCACACTGTCTTAATATAGCAACAGTTAAGGCTTGTTTTTCTAATAGCCATGTCAGCTGGCTATGAGCACAGGAAGTGCCCCAGCTTGAAGGTGCTGGAAACGCTCCTGATTCTGACACTAGCAGTGATGGAAGAGTCTGCTTATCGGTCATCTTCTCAGAACAAGCCATGTCTCTATGAGCAGGACTCATGGAGCAGTGCTTTCCAGGAAAAGCTTTCTTTATTTCTTCATTGCCACAAAGTGTGGTGATCCCTGCCAAAAGTTGTTCTGTTTCCTTAACTGCAGATTTGTACAGTGAGGTCAAGAGCTGTTTTCTTGGGCCTACCTGAAGGCACGTCCGGAAGCATGAAGGTAACGAGAGAAGATGTGGGGAAAAGCTGGTCTCAGCACTCTGAATTCTAACTCTGGCATGGGAGGTGGCTTAGCTTGGCAGTCCTAGTCAGGCCACTCCATTTCTCTGGCCCTCAGTCTTCTCGACTACACAAAGGGAATTTAGTTGGGTGGTCACTAAAATCCTCTGGCTCTGAAATTCTAACCTCCTGAAGTCCCTTCTAGATTTCTGATTCTAGAATTTGGATAGACTTACAATAACCTCCATAACCTCTTAGCACTACTGGCCCAGTGAATACTTGGTACATAAGACACTATGCTGGGAAATCAACTCACGACAGAAAGAAAGTGCTATGGCAGGATCCCAAGGCTAGCAACTCACGTGTGTGCTGACTGGACAGGCACGGAGGAATTGAGGCCACTTGGGTTGTTTACAACATCTCGTAGAAAGGATGAGCTCATTTTCCTAACTCCCCTGAGCTTCCAGGTGCGGTTCTGGTGTCATTTTTAAGATTACTACAGCTAAATCTCTTTAACTTCTCAGCTTCAGCTCTCCCCAGGAAAACACAAACACTGCCCAAGTAAAGAGCTAGACAACAGAAGCTGAAAGTCTTCTTGAACCCCAGTATAGAAAATTCTGGATGGAAGTCAGCAAGCAATGGGAGAGAAAATGATCTAAAAAGAAAAAGAAAAGAAAGCTTTCTCCCTTTTTTTCTTTCCCTGAGCCTAGTTTTTAGGAAACTGGTAGCTGACAGCATTGTGAAGGCACAACCGTGCCACTCACTGTAAAACTTTGAAAATTGAACTAGAATATTGTGACTTCAAAAGTTATCATAAAATCTGAATTATTCAGGTTGGAGGCTGTGTCGCTGCTGAGTTCACTTGGAAACGAACAAAAGTGGCTTCACATGTTACCATGGTTCTGAACCCTGGTTATGTATTGGAACCATGTGGAGAGCTTTAAAAAAAAAAAAACAAAAACCCTGCTGAAGCCTCATGCCAGGTCACGTATAGCAGAGTCTTTGGGAAGTAACTGGGAGCGACAACTATTGCCCAAAGATGTTCGCTTCTCAACATTGTATAGGATTTGGTTAGGTCTCTCCTGTCTGAACGATCTTACTCATTTACTAAAATCGGATGCAGATATTTTAAAAAGATGTTAAAAATGCTTAGTGAGTATCTGTAGTAATGAATAAAAATGCATATATTATGATTTTAAATACAAAATATAGGACGTAATAACTACATATTGGATACAAAGAAACAAATGACTAGAAAGTTCACAAAAGAAATAGTGCTGGAAAGGAAACATACTAAAGTGGTTACATGGTTATGGCAGGGTGTTAGGTCTTTAGGTGACCTTTTCCCCATTTTTCTGAATTTTCCACGTGATGGCCATATATAACATTTAGAATGGGAAAGGAGGTAAAAAGCTAACAAACTGACCACCTAAAAAGTAAAGGGGCACATCTCACAAAGGCCTGTCCATTAGAGCTCAGATGAGGGGTTTCCCTAAGGGCCTCAGGACGGCCCCAAAGCCAGCCAAGGCAACGCACCTCCCCCTCTCCTTCTCTCACTTCACAGGGCTTGACACGAGAGCCGGCTGAGCAGGGGGAGTCCAGAATGAAAAACTTCCCCAAACCCTTCATAGTGCCAATAAAGAGGATCACTCACAAACTGGGATTCTGAGTGGGGGAAAAGCCCCCCCACTGCTGAGATCCAGAAGACCCTTCAACAGCAGGGAAATATCTGGGCTATTTTCCAAAACTCCATTTGTGTCTGAGGCATTGAGGTAAAAAGCAGTTTTCTGGGTAAATGACCAGATCTGATTTCCTCTCCCTCTTGCTTTAGTGAAGGAGCCCTGTTCTTATGAACCAAAGATCTACTCTTGCTCCTAGCCTGGGAAACAGGTGGAACATAGCATCCTATCCCGTCTACTCAAACTATGGCTAAACCAGAGAAACCAGGAGCTCCTGAAAGTGGTGCAACTTCTGCCCATGAGCCCAGAGGAAGACTGACTGGGTTTATGGAATATCTCTGACTGACCCCCACCTGCTGCCTCTTTACACTGCCCCCCTGAGGTGAGGAGGCCTCACTGCAGGCGTGTGGTAAGCCCTGGGATCCTTACCTGCTTGCCTCGTTTTCCTGGTCTTCCTGTGGGTCCCCGGGGTCCTGCTATCCCAGGCTCACCCTTTGGACCCATTTCACCCTGGAAAGAGAGGTAAGAGAGGAATTTGGGCATGTGGAGCAAGCACATCTCTGCAGGTCTACCCAATCAGGGGCCACGAGGGCAGTCTTGCTTGATCATTCCACATCTTTTCAAAGCGGGCTGCTCTGGGGGATAGGAAGAGTGATGAGGTCATGGGAAGGGTAGAAAGGTTTTTCATGGGAGAGGAAGGCGGGGAGAAGATTACACTGGGTGAGTGACTTATTATCTGAGAGACAGAGCTGCTGGGCGCCACGCATGCTGGTGTCTCAAATGCCCATCCAGAATGGCCAGAGTGGGAGGCTCCTGCATTTCAGTCTCACTATACGCAGTCAGGGAAAATGCTTTTTCTTTTAGTTGAAATTTTAGGTTGTGTTTTGTTTTGTTTTGTTTTGTTTTTAGCACAAGTCTGTGGGGTTTTGAATGACTGGATACAGTCTCAACAACTATCATTTTTGGGGAGTTCCTGCTCATGCAATGACCTTTATCAAAGGGTTGTATCTTCCTCCACTTTTCAGTAAAAATTGGTTTGAGTTCCAGCTCACTTCCATTTGATTTAGATGAAAACTCTTTGTGAGGAGAGATGTTTCAGACATATGTTCAAATATGCTAATGATTGTAAAGGCATGGAAAGCAATATAAGCAATATTCCTAGTTGAAAAGCCCTACTTCAAAGTATCAGAACCAAATGCACCAACTGCAGAATTCTATCGTTTAAGGCCAACCTTTCATAAAACCCATTTCTCCATTTTAGTTTCTCTACTTCTTCCCCATGGTCTTCTAGGGTTCCAGGACCTCTTGCTATTTCTTTGGATCATGAACCCACAGGGCATTGTTCCCACCTCCAGGGATCCCGCTACAGCCCAGAATGCACCACTAACAAGCTAAGCTTAGCAACGGCAACCACGAGAGTTTCTGTCAGTCAGCAGCCAGTGTCCATGAAGAGCCTCCCCAGATACTCAGAGGAGATATGACACGTGGAAAATTCCAGGAATATCAATATACAGTAAGGATCGAGCAGAAACCCCTGAAATCATCTGCCAGCTCAGCCAATGTATTGAATTTGTCATTACCCAAGCTACCAACAATTTGCCGTACCAAGAATTGGCCTTAAACCTGTATTATTTTTCCAACCCCCTCGCCCCTGCCTGGCCATGTCCTTCAGGATGCTGGGCAATGAGCATGTGAGAGGTGAATTCCACGTGGCCAAGGAGATGTGGGCACAATTTTCCTTGGCTGCTTAGAAGGGGCTGAGGGGTCTCTTGTTTGGCTTCAAGAAAACAGCAGCATAAACAGCATAATTTTTTTTAAAGACTATTAGAAGGAAGTGTGGCCCTTCTCTTCACCAACTGGAAGCAGCCAGTAATTTCTTGATCTAATTTCTCTCCTCTGACCTAATTATGGTTATCATATCAGCTCTGTCTTAAACATCCTGCAACCAAAGGGGAAGCGGACTCTCGATGGCAGGTCTAGTAAATGGAGCAGAGACCAAAGAAGCTGTCATCTTGAATTTTACAGTAATTTATTATTCTCTGATGTTCATTGTTACACTGAAGGAAAACCTGGCCTACATATTTTAAAATGAAATTACTTTTTCTCTTTTACTCTTTCCTTTAATGTACTTATTTAATCTATATTTAATGCAACACCCCATCTAGGGTAGCAGAAAATGTTTTTGACAGTTGAAGGCAGGGAGAAATTATAATAAATTAATGTCAGATGATGGAAATTATTTAAGTATGCTCCACTGACTGGAGAAAATCAGATGAGAATTGTTTTTTTTTTTTTAAATTTATTTATTTACTTTTTAAATACATTTGTCTCTGCCTCCCCCCCACCTCTTTCCCTTGCCCCCTCCCACCTTCCCTCCCTCAGCTCTTCCCCTTTGGTTTTGTCCATGAGTCCTTGCTATATGTTCCTTGACTTTCCCCTTCCCTTCCCTTTCCCTGCCCCACCCTATATAAATAAAACATGGAGAATTGTTTATTCTAGTTTGGAAAATAAAACTTGAAGGCCAACTTGAAAAAAAATTAAGTTGTAAGAGAGCATCTCACTTGTATGTTTGAAGAACACTGTGCTCTGAAGACGAGGTTAAAACAACGGTTTCCCAGGTCAGGGCCTTACAGCGCATGAGGCCCCACCACTACGAAGGTGGATCAGGAGTGGTTCTCCATGGCCATTTGTGACTCTCTTCCATCTCTGATACTGTCCCTCGCCACCACCCTATTTTTCTTCCCCAGACTCTAACCCTAAGGAAAAGTTTTTAAAAAAAATTCTGTCAGTCAATTGTCACCTTCATGGTTTTTGTTATATCTGCACATCACTTTGTTCTTATTTAATAAATATTTTTCTTAGAATCAACTGAATTCACTCTTTTTAAATTAAGCCTTGTCCCATGCAAGATATTCATGAAATCTCACTAAATATTTAACTATTTAAATAAAAAATTTAACTATCAAATAAAAAATGTTTGCTATCACCCAGCTAAAATAACTGCATACCTATAGCAGTACATGTGCCACCTTGAAGCGGTGCCAAGCTGGGTGATGTCAGCAGTGGCATTAAGCCAGAGTTGCCTGCGCTTCCCCGGGGGCCCCTGACCATGGCTGCTCAGACCCGAGTTTCTCGTCATAAAGCTTCCTGCCTTTGAACACTACCACTGCACCCTAAGAGGTAGCATATGAAAAGAAGGGCCTCTTTCCACTCAGGTAAAGTGTCCTTGCCCTCCCATTGACCTGGAGGGGAGTCTCAGACCATTGCCACTCTGTCACCAATATGTTTAGCAACTTGCTCCATTTTCAAACCAGAATCTTCCATAGAGAGACTTTCCCAGCCTGATGAAGGGCAAGGCAGACCACTTTTGTTGTCCTTGGGTGGTCTGCTTTTTTTTACTTCTATTTTTACTACTTCTATTTCATAGTACTTCTAGGTACTTACTTTCTGCCCCAACATTCCAGGAAATCCTGGGAAACCCTGTGAAGAGAACAACAAATACAGTGACTGTCACTGAAATTACATTTAAAAGGACTGTGGAAGAGCTTAGTCATCCATTTTCAAGATAGAACCCTGTCAGTCAGCCAGTCAGCCAGCCAGCCAATCAGACAGACAGACAGTCAGCTAGACAGACTGCCAATCAGCCAGTCAATCAGTCAGGCAGCCAGTCAAACTGTCAGCCAGTCAGCCAGCCAGCCAGCCAGTCAGCCAGTCAGCCAGCCAGCCAGCCAGTCAGACAGTCAGACAGTCAGCCAGCCAGTCAGCCAGCCAGCCAGCCAGTCAGTCAGTCAGATAGTCAGTCAGCCAGTTAGTCAGTCGGCCAGATAGTCAGCCAGCCAGCCAGCCAGTCAGGCAGCCAGTTAATCAGTGGGCCAGATAGTCAGTCAGCTGGCCAGTCAGACAGCAAGCCAGCCAGCCAGTCAGAGAGTCAGCCAGTCAGCCAGTCAGTGAGTTGGCCAGCCCACAAGATGGGGTGATTTACTTCCTTTATAGTTGATCATGTCTATGCAATAGTCATTACCTTTTCTCCTTTGGGACCCAAGTCACCCCTTTCACCTCTGGATCCCTAAGAGAAAACCACAGGAGACATTTGGCGAGTTAATATCATGGGAGGGAAAATGGAGCATTTGAAACTAAAAGCTGCCTAAGCCAACACCCTCACTTCACAGGCAAAGAAACAGGCTCGGAGAGTAGGTGACTTGCCCAGGGAAGGAACACGTGGTGATTTACCTTCATTCTGCACCCCAAGTACTTCCTGCAGTAATAAAGGACAACTCACATAAAATTCTGGGTCCCAGATCCTCTCTTGTCCGATAGGAACTGTTTTCCCAGGTTCTGGTTGGGTTTTTGTTTTTGACAGAAGAGAAGGTTGTGTGGTGAGAGCTTGGGCTAAAGACACGCATCTGCCATCTCCCTCCAGGACATTGGTGCGAGTTGGCACAAGCTTTACTTGCCCATCTGGTCCATGTGAGAGGCCTCTCCCACCCCTGGGAACACCCCCAAGCTGCTGACCCTGCCTCAGGGGCCGCTCCCTCCCTCTCAGCCCACTGATAAAAGAGGGGAAATATTCAAGCATGGTCACTGCAGTCACTGACTAGAGAGAGACCTGGGCCCATCCTCCCTCACCCGAGGACCAAGGGTTCAGACCAGCTCTGGAAGTGGGAAGAGACAAGCACAAACCTTTTCCCCTCTGGATCCAGGGTAGCCCTAAAAGAAAGAAGAAGGTGCATTGACAATCAGCCCCTTCGGACCTTTGCGTTTGGTGACAGAGTGGAAGGAGTCCCTGCATGTGGAGGCGAGATGTGTCTGACTGCACCGCAAGTTTTAGTAGGGGATTGCAGCATTCGGGTACAAAGAAGTCCCCAAGGACTGTGTTTACGCCAGGCCTAAAAAGAACACTGCTTTTGTTACCACCACCCTAAAGGCCCGGACAAAGATTCCCATCTGTTTTGTTGTCCAGAGGTTTGACCCTCGCTGCACAGGAAGGCAGTAGAAATGGTATCTGTGTGCCCCTGTGTCCCTTCGTCCCTTCCCCTATATCCCCCAAAGGCTGGTAAAGACAAGCACTCTGGCGTTGGGCTGCCCAACATCCGTGACATTGCTTGGGCTGGATGGCAGCCACATCCAGTCCCCATCTTTGTAGATAACAGCTGCTCCAGAGCCTTAGTGAGAAGATCTGGGAACATCCATCTGGACCAACACACTGACCTTGGAGCCCATTGGTCCTCTTGACCCTGGTAAGCCCATCAGACCCAGGTCACCTTTTTCACCCTGTGGGAATCAGTAGAAGGGGGAAAGAAAAAGACCTATAGTGACATTTCTTAGAGAAACTGAACCAGGAATTCATGGGCTAGATCAGAAAGGAACTGGGGCCCTGGCCGGTGTAGCTCAGTGGATTGAGCACCAACCTATGAACCAAAGGGTTGTTGGTACGATTCCCAGTCAGGGCACATGTCTGGGTTGTGGGTCAGGTCCCCAGTAGGGGGCACTCAAGAGGCAACCACACATTGATGTTTCTCTACCTTTCTCTCTCCTTTCCCCTATGTCTAAAAATAAATAAATAAAATCTTAAAAAAAAAAAGGAAGGAAGGAAGGAAGGAAGAGGGGACATTAGGGCTGGCTTGTGAATCTGAGGACCTCAAATCCTCTCTTGCTTACTCCCAGGGGTCTAAAGCCCTATACTCCACATTTCACTCTGGTATTTGAGATTAAATATAAAATGAAATTGCCGAAGGCAGAGCGGATCTCTAAAGTAAATTTTCACTAAGATGTTTTAATGGAATGCTTGATTTTTTCCTAGAGGAGGCTGGAAGGGAGTGGGGATGGGGAGAGCTTGGGGCACTGGGGCCCCAGGGGACAAAGTGCCAGCACTCAAAAAACTTCACTTGCTTTGCTCTTTGCATAGAGTGGATCTTTCAGACATCTCCACATACTCTAACCCTGGGTTTGCAACTCAGTAGAGTGAACATTAGCCTTGGGTGTGTATGAAGAAGGCAGGGTGAGTTTTGTTGCCCCTCAGGATCATTGGCAGTTGGAACTTACGGCACCTTCTGTGATAAAACTCTGTCAGTGCTAACCAGTAGAAATGTAAGGTGAGCCACATACTTAATTTTAAAATTTTTTAGAAGTCACATTAAAAGTACAAACTAAACAGGTGAAATTAACTTTATCAGTATATTTTTACTGTAATTAATTTAATCTAATTATCATTTCAACCTACAGTCAATGTAAATATTATTAATGAGATATTTTATATTCTATTTTTGATGATAGATACTTAAAATCTGTTGTGCATTTTACATTTAAACCACACCTCAATTCGGGTACTAAATTTTCATCCAAAATACATGATCTGTATTTAGAGTTCATATAATTTATAGTTGAAAAAGCAAGTTCACATATTCAACATGGGATCCACATACTTTACATACTTAGATGTTTTCAAATAACTGTATCGAGTAAAAGTTTTAAAAATTCAAACTTAAATTAATTAAAATTAAGAGTTCATTTCCTCAGTCACACTAGCCACATTTCAAGGGCTCAATAGCCACATGTGGCTTGTGGCAGCCATATTGGATGGCTCAGGTTTATACAGTTGACTTTTTAAAAACTATGCTTGGGAATTTTCCTACAAGGATTGGGAACAGTTCTCTAATCCCTTATAAATTCTGTCAGTAGGTGGATCAGAGTAGATAGTGACATTCACCTGCCCAAGTCATGGCCTCTGTACCGAACAGCCTATGACCAAAGTGAGAAGAACGTAAATCAAGGCATCGCTGTGGACCTGTTAGCTTTCCCTAACCTGAGTGAGGAGAGGGATTTCATCAGCATTTGGTGACCCCTCTCTGGGTTCTTGCAGCCAGCCAGCGCCAACCCCCTCAACCCTCCACCTCAGCCAGGTCAGCAGGACAGGCCAACAGCTCTCCAGATGCAAGCCCTTCTCAGGTCACCTCAGAGAAACCAAAGAGCTGCCTGCCAACTCCCAGGACAAAGGAGAATCCGGGGCCCTGTGAAAGAAGGCAGCAGCCCCTCATTTCCACCCCTACAGGAGCAGAGCTGTTGGACTGACCGAGGTCTGGAGGAAGTGGGCGCCACTCACGATGTGCCAGGGGCCAGGGGAGCCACCATCTTCTCCCTCATGTTCTGATACCACATGAACCCTGCTAGTGCTCCACACTTACCCTGGGTCCTTCAGGGCCAGGCCAGCCGATGGGCCCAGGCATGCCAGGAACACCGGGGGGGCCAGGTCTACCCTTCAGAGTCAAAGAACAAAAGTCAGGACAGCTGGGTTTGTTTCCCCCGTTCCAGGAAATAAGATTTGTCTCTGGGGCCCAGAGGAGTATGGGGTCTGTAAAGCATGGCCCCAGACCCTCATCTCTGAAATCGGATAGCCAAAAACTGGGATCACTCAGGCATACATGCAAGCCCTAGGTGTGACATTGTGTCAACACACAAGATATTCTTTTACTGAAGAAATGGAAAGTGACGGAGAAGAGATTCTAACTTGGTTTTCAATCATTATCAGCTCCACCTACCCACCCATCCAAATGTGCCCTGCATTCCAATAGGTCCTCCCCAAGGATGATGTAAATGGCATAAGATTATGTTTGGGGAGCAGTGGCAAATGCTGCTGTTACTTCCTCCTGCTCAGCGTGCCCATCCCCCAGGAGCTACCTTCCTCGCTGTACTAACTTATCTGTACACCTTGTGGCTATGGAGTTTGCCTGTGGGCAACTGGAGCTGCCCAGCAATTTATGTACTTCCCCTCCCTGCAGCCAATAGCCCAGCTCCCTTACTTTAAGGCAAGACAAACTCTGTGGTGCAATCCTCACTCCACAGCTCCCCCGGGGATTGGGTTGAAGCTGGACATCACCTGATACCACTCCACACTGCGTTCTCTCCCTTGCCCCAGCTGAATTCCCCCTCTTCTCAGGCTCCTCTTGAGAGAGTTCCCTTACCACAGTAACTGATTCACTTGCACATGGCACGTGCCATCTCTGTCTCTACTTCTAAGGAACTCAACCTAAACCAGGATCCATGTAAGAGTAAGCCCTGAAAGAGCGGGAGCAGGGACTTGGGATCTATCTTGACCTCTGCACCCACTGGCAAATGCTAGCCTAGCTAGAGGTGTGGAAGGCTCAGCCCCTAAACCAGGAAGCACAAATGCTGGCATGTGTACCAGTTTCTACTCTTGCCTCCCACATCACTAATTAATTACAGCCCTCCGAGCACGGAGACCACGCCGGAGGTTTTTCCAGCCCAGCACTTCGGATCACCCCTGAGCCTTGGCTGGAGCTGTCATCTGTGCCCTGAAGTGTTGTAACTTTGCCTTGCAAAGGTCTGTTTGAGGCGCTAACTGATAGTGAAAGTGTTTGAATAAAACATTCAACCAAAAAATAGTAATTTATATTTAGAACCAGGGGGATCTTTCTTGGCCAAAGCTTTGTGCCTCCTTCCATCACCAAGACCTGCAACGTCAGCGCCAGCATCCATGGACCGCAGCGAGATGCCGCTGGCTTCCTTCTTCCTGACACTAATGAGAGTCTTGATAACACGTGTTTGGTTCACTCAGAGTCTCTGTGACCTCAAGTAACTCCCACTTATTTCAGCAAAAGCCATTTGTTTCTGTCTGTTTGGCACTTTATTCTAGTTTAATCAAATAGACAGTGAGAGCCATTTTGTGCCACTGGTTGGGGCCTTAGATAGTTTCTCTGACGGGTGGCAGGGTGAGATGCTCTGAGGCTGGGGGAAACTTGGCCAGGCTTGGCAGCCTCCGGAAGAAGTCCGGATGCCTGGCAGTAGCACGGTCCAGCTCCCGAGTGAAGGAGTGGGAGAAAGAGCAAAGTTGTGGTTGTCTCCATCAGGATGGCAGCGCTACCATTGTCCAATGAGTTGGAGGCCACAGTAGTGCACGGACCACAGTTGCCTATGTAATGCAGACAGAAATGCATGGACCATACCTTCCTTCCTGGTCGGCCAAGCTCCCCCTGTGGATGGAAAAGACAGGTAAGCAGAGGCTGCTTTGGAAGAGAAATTCTGGAAGTAGCTGGCTGAGTAGGGCTGATGACTGGACATGCCCTTGTGGCTCGGTCGCTTGGCCACTCACTGTGCCCCTGCCCCATCAGTGGGCCAAGCCAAAATACACCTGTGGGATCCTACACCCACAGCAGCAGCCCAGTCCTCATAAAGCCCAGGCTCATGCACTAAGCAGAACTAGCACAAGCCCTGAAATCTCAGCCAGAACATTCTCAGGGGCAGAAAACAGGCTAGAACTACCAAGGAGAGGTGAGTTGAAGAGACTTGTGGCTCCTACCTTTTCTCCCTTTGGTCCTGTCTTTCCTGGAGGCCCTGGTGGACCCTACACAATCAGGAGAAGAAGTGAAGAGAGTACATCAGACCAAGGCAGGACAGGCAGTGAGGGTGGCGGGACTGGGGAAGGTTCTTGGAACACCCCTGCATTAGCCTCATTCTCTCTGTGGACTCCACACTCCAGGAACCCCATGAAGGACCCTCTTGTAACCTCCAGCCCAGGGTCCTCCTCTGGGTTCCTCTCCTTCTAGCATCTCTGAGTTGTGTTTCCAGTGGTTCCAAGGTTGCAATGCTCACATCTGCTCACCATGAGTTTAATTTTCTCCCTGGAATTCTCAGGTTGCCTGAAACATCCTGAGTGCTAAGTGAGAGTAACTAATGAGATCTGAAGAAATGCTCTTTGTTGAGAGCAAGAGGCTTCACTGCCTCATATTTTTTCAGTTGCTCACTGAGCTCCCTTGGACCCTGACAAGAGGGAAGTTACGTTTTGCACACAGGAGCAGCTGACTTAGAAATTCCCATGGTGGAGCAACAGGCACTAAGTGCAGCAGAAGCCTTCTGTTCTAAGACATTAAGAATGTGGGTAAGTAGTGGATTTTTGTCCCAGCCACAGCGGTGGGGCTGATCCCAGCTCAGGGACTCTAGTATCCACTGTGCGGGCTTGGCATACCCGCAGCCGAATGCAGCTGCTTTCTGCTCCTGTATCTATGAAATGGTCAGATGGCTGTTTCCAAATTCCCCAGCATTGCAGAGAGAAAATCCATCAATCCCCCAGGCTACTGCTTTATCCCCAAGGTCTGCAGGTGAGCACGCCTGTTCAAACACCAAGCCTGTTTGAAATACGATTGCATGAGACATGGCCTCAGTCAGTGGTTACCAAACCTGTCTGCACTTTAGAATCCCTGGGATCTCTTAGAAATCCTGAAGACCAGGCCAATCCCATGGCAGTCTTAGGGAGAGGGACAGAGGCGTCAGGAATTTTTGGAGTTCCCCGGGGATTCTAATGCGCAGATACATTTGGAAACCACCCTCTTTGGTTTATTCGCCTTCTGTTTTGTGGGGGGGAGGATGAAGAATTTTTATTCAGTCTTGTACTTTTTTTCAAGTCTCGGGTTTTCCCATTTCTTAAAATGGGCTAGAACTATTTTACCAGGCCTTCGTGTGCCAGCTCTGACATTCAACTTGATTCACTGGGGTGTCCCGTTAAAATGTAGATTCTGACGGAATGGGGGAGGGGTGTCGGGAGGAGCAGAGGATGAGCTTCTGCATCTCTAACAAGCGCCCAGACGATGCCAACGTGGCTGGCCCACAGATCTCATTTTGCGGGGACAGCATTCACGCTGTTCTGAGAGAATGGAGGTGACTGTCTAGTCCCCTGGAGGTGGCCAGGGTAGCCGCCACGTGACTCGGTGGCAGTGCGTGAAGTTAGAGGGGAATTTAGAGATGAGCGTGACTGGAGAGCTGCTGGTCAGCAGAGACCCTCCTTTCTCCCCCGTGGTCTGTGGGTTCTCCTGGGCTCTGAGAGCTGTCAGCGCAGACCGTGGGAAACTAGGAACCCACCTCAGGGTGCCTGTCCTGCCTTTCTGCAGACTTCCCAGATCCTCCGGCCAACTCTGGGATCAGAGTGATATAATATGTACTGCATTTAACAAACATTTATGGGGAACCTATTACACCTCATGCCCTGGTGTAGATGGGCACACGATACGAACAAGACAAGGCTCCTGCTCTCAGGACTAGAGGTCGGTTATCTCTGTGAAAAGCCAGATAGTAAATATTTCAGGTTGTGCGTTTGGTACAGCAACTCTGTCACAACCACTCAACTCTGTCCTTGCAGCGCAACAGTGGCCAGAGACAATAAAACCGTAATTACAAAAACAGGCTGGGTTTGACCCATGGGCCATAGTTGGCCAACACCAGCCATAGAGCTTACATTTCATGGAGAGGAGACCAAAGAGATTAGGAACATAAAAGTGACCAAGGAAACTATAACAACAGGAGAAAAATTTGCAGAGAATTAAAATAGGTCATTGGATGAAGAGTGATGGCTACTGCAGCCTGGTGGGCTGAGGAAGGAGCTCCTAAGGAGGTGGCATTTAACTGAATTCTGAGTGACAAAGGAGTTGGCCAAAGTGAAAACCACAAGGAAGAATGTTCCAAGCAGCTGGGGCCACAGGAGTGAAGGCGGGGGTGCTGGAACAGGCGTGGTGTGCTTGAGAGCCCACCGCACGCACTGTGGCGGCATCGAGTGGGCAGTGTTGGTGGCCTGGGATGGTGTAGAAGGCACAGGTGGGGGTCCCTTCATGTGGGGGTTTGCAACCAGGGTGAGGAGCGTGTCTCCCAGTGTTCTCGAGATGGGAAGCCACAGTGGGGGTGGAGCCCTGGACCGTGAGAGAATTCCTAAGGCACTCAGGGAACCAACAGCTCCTCATTCCCTTTCCCTTCCCCATGGCAGGCTCAGAGTCCCAGGCTGGGGGATGTTCCTCCTTGGTGGAGCCCCAGGCCCAGGCAGTCAGAGGAGCCAGGAGCCTGGGAGATGAGGTCTCTTTGTTTCCATAGATCCTTTCTCTAGTATTTTGCCTGTTCCTCACTCTTCCCTTTAGCTTTGCTAGGGAGGGTGGGCTGCCTGGTGGCTGTATCTGGGCCAAATGAGCTCAAGGTAACAAGCTCTTCTTTGTCTCCCCTTTCCTGCAGTAAATGCAGGGAGCTCTGGGGCCACTGATGGGGCCAATGACCACGTAAGGGGCAAGCTGTTGTCCTCAACTATTTGATGCTAACTGTAATAACCACAGCCACCGAGGCAGCATCTCATTGATCCCCCAGCCTAAATACAGTACTGCAGCAACAAATACTGTCCCCATGCAGCCACGAGGAAATCAAGGCTGCGAGGCTGGAACTCACTCAGAGAAGCAGCGTTCTGTTCGTGTGGTGAGTCAGAGCAGAAGAAACAGCCCCCGCGTCATGTGAAAATGGGCATCTCTAAGAGGCTTCACTGCTCTGGACAGAGGACAGCGAGAGAGGTCTGGTGGGATGCACCAACCTGGGGGCCGGGAGGCCCAGGGGAGCCGAGCGATCCTTGCACACACGGGGACTGCGTGGTCTCCAGTTCCAGGATGAGATTCTCCATGTCTGGGGAGAGGAGCTTCAGTGCAAAGCAATATAGGTTTATAGGTCAGACTTGGAGGACAGAGAAGAGACATCACCCTAAACACAGGCCTGCTCCGTAGTCCAGTTCCCAAGACTGGCGCTTCCTTGACACCCCAATGGATGTCCCGAGAAGGTGACCCTCCTGATGACCAGTGTCTGTTCTCTCATCCCCTTTTTAAGATGTACTTGGCTTGAATGGATTACAGAGCTATAGTGATGGAGTTAGGAAGCTCATTTCAGGGGCCTCTATCCAATGTCTAGGACAGCACTGTCCAAAAGAAAGAAAATGTGAGCCACGGATGTGAGCCATAGAGGTAGTTTTGACTGTGTTAGTAGTCATATTATAAAAAGTAAAAGGAAACAAGCAGAATTAATTAATAATATATTTTATAACCCAATACATCCCAAATATTATCACTTCAAAACATATCCAATATTTAGAAATTACTAATAAGATATTTTACAGTCTTTTTTTCATACAAAGTCTCCAAAATTCTGTGTGTATATGTATAGCTCAACTCAAACTAGCCACATTAAATGTGCTCAATAGCCTCATAAGGCCAGTGGCTGCATTGGACAGTACAGGTTGAAGACTTCCTTTAAATATCTGAGACTCTCAAGTCCCACCTGTTTTCTTCTAAGTCAGTTCCCCAAATGCTGCTCTTTTCTTCACTTTTCCTCTCTTTCCAAATTCTTTTCCCTCTCACACCTCACTATGGCTACAGAGGACCGTTTTCTGCACACCCTCACAAAAATGGTCTATGTTACATACAGGTTGTGGAAAGGAATTCCATAAATACTTGGGGAGAAGAAAAAGAAAGGGAGAAATTCGTATCTAAGCAGCTGATGGGAGCCCAGAAAGTTATCCATTCACCTCACTGTTTTAGGGAAGACGGGATACTTTGCCAAATCCAATTCCCTGCCAAGAAGAACCTCCCTCCATAGCTTACTTAGACGGTGGGAGAATGGACATGCACCAGGAGCTGAAAAGTCTGTCCCAGAGCTCAACCTGCTGCCTGAGAGCAAAGGCGTGACTCCCTCAGAGAAGATTCTGGAGGAAGCTGACATTGAGGGATAAGGGACGTGGGGTGGGGCAGTGTGCTGCGCACTGAGGCACCCACATTTCATGTGTCCTCAGGTACTCACCGGACTTCGGCCCCCTCTGAAGAAGGGCGGTGGGAAGAGTGGGGGCGGAGGGGGCGTCAGCAGGCAGCATGCTTTGTGGCTGCCACGCTTCTTCTGATCCAGGCCAGGAAGGGCTGTTTAGAGAAAACTGCTGCTCATTAGCATGGGGTCAGGGCTAGGGCCTCTGTCATGCCCACTGTGCCCAAGGGAGACCCACGCTGCCACCCCAAACTTCCTAACCTGTTAGATGGGAGCACACCTCCTGTTCACTACGTGACGTAGCCCTCCCTTGGCCTTCATGAGATAATGTGAATAAGATAAATGAGCAAATGATATGAACACTGACTGTTATGAAGTTCATTCCTCCTTCTTCAGGCATTGACTTGTCACTTTGTAGATGGGGCGAGGAATTCAAAGTTCAAGAAGACTCATAAGGTGAGATGTAGCTGGGGAGAAGCAAGTTGTGAATAACTTTGATATTGTGCTCAGAAGGAATTGTTCAGAGGGCGGCGGCCAGGACTGGAGGTTGCATTGATTAAAAGAGACCATGATCCGTGGTTTAAAACACATATTTGACTCCAGACTCTCTGCAAACATTCGGTGTCACCCGGGATCACTACAGAGTGATGGTTAAATATCTCAGTATGTGGGTCTCAATGAGGAGAAATGAAGAGGGGGCCCTGGGCCCTAATAGTTTCATCGTCTCATGGAGTCTCTTGACGCACATGTTATTGAGGGGAAGGCAACCGGGGGCCAGGGTAAGAGTGAAAGAGGAGGCACAATCAAGGGCACTTTTGATGTTGCAGGCGACCCAGGGCAACAGTGGTCAGAGTATGAGATGGGAAAGTTGGAGGAGGCACTAGTTTTTAGGGAAAGCTGCCAAATTTGGCATTAGACATTTGTTAATTTGAGCACTTGTTTTGCTGGGCACTGAGCTAGTCCTTGTGGGGGACAGAAAGATGCCTAAGCAGTGCCCCTGACTTGTAGATGGGAAAGCCTGTGGAGCTTGAGTGGCTGCCAAGACCCTTGTGCTCATATCCTACCCTCTCCTCCCATACCCTGACCAATCCTGGAGGCCCTTACTGTACATCAAGAACTGTTAGGAGCCGCCTCCACCAGGAAGCTTTCCTTGATTTCCTAGGCCAAGGCTGAGGGGTCCTGCTATGCTTTCTTTTGGGTTTACCCCTATATTAACCTTGAATCTGTGTCCTAATATCTCTCTGAGTGACCTGTGCTTTCCTGGCGGAGAGGAGCCAATTTCTATCCCCAGGGTCTAGCCCAGTAACTGGCATACACTAGAAGTCCCTCAAATGCCTAATAAACTTATTTAAAAAAGAAAAAAACACAACACGCCAGGGACCATTTAAATGCTTCACACATATAAATGTACCTAATCCTAACGGCAACCCTGAGAGTTAAGTGCTGTTATTATTATCATCATCATTCCCGTTTTACAGATCAGTTAACTGAGGCAAAGAAGAAATGACTTGCCCACGGTCATACAATTAGTGACGGACAGTGCCAGGATTTGAACCCAGCAGCCTGGTTCCGGAGTCCTTCCTCTAGATTTCTACCCTATGACTGCAGTGTGGGTAGAAATAAAGGTCGGAGATAAGGAGGCGGCAATGACCTGAGATTTATAGTATCAGTGCCTTTCAGCCAAAGACCGTCAGGAATGCACCTATAGTTGAACACAGTTGGCTCTACTGACTCAATCGTTGCAAAGAGGAAGAACGCACACAGTGGCGAGCCCTGGGCATCTCGGTAACAGGGTGTAATAGGATTTGTTCCAGGATGAGGGCTTTTCCAGGCGATTTTGGGGGAGCCTATGAGGAAGTAAAGTCTGGCCTTGCTCTGGACTGGATGCTGTCAGGAAGCAAGGGCAAGGCTATGGCCATCTCAATTCTCACCTAGAAGAGGAGAAGGGAGGGAGACTGAAGCCGTGACCGGAAGGGCAGCAGTAGTTGCTCCCATGAGCAGGAACAGAGGGATAGTTGACCATTTTTGTGGTTGGCTGATAGTCTTATTTTGCCAGTGTCTGACATGATAACAGAATGGCCTTGTTTTTTGTCTTGATCCATCCCTTTCACAGGCTGATCTTGTCTGATGTGGTTCTGTGACATCATTTACACTCAACAGGAGAGCACAACAGCCCGGCTGAGAGCGGCCGGCCCGCCCCAGCTGTCACGGGCTGCCCTTCTCCTTCTCAGTGGTAAACCAACATGGCTATGTTGTTATAGAACTTGATGTTGATGCCAAGGGTATCCTCTTCTAGTTTCCTCCCTAAAGCTAGGAGTGGGCAGCTTCCGTCACTCCTCTCCGTCTCGGGCGTGAGGAGGGGCTAGCAGACACAGGCCAACCCTCCGCGACCTTCCCAAGTCCCCCAGCTGCAGTTTCTCTTTTGTGCCTCTTTGGCCTCAGCAGACAGCTGAGGGCTGAGGATGCGCGTTCCGGCAAAGCCTCTCCCACCAGGAACACCTGGGAAGCTGGCAGGTTCCCATGGCTCACTTGCACTGCTGACCACTGATTTTTCCAGACCATATATGGCCTGAGATGCCTCCTTTCACCCCACACCCTGTGTGGCCTTCCACTGATGAAAGACCCTGCATCATTTAAAGCAATCTCCCATTTCTGGAGAACTCTTCAGTAACATAAATTATCAGTTGCTTTTTCTGTAGAGGCCTCTGCATTGTTCACCCCTCCCCATCCCTTTCCCCCTTGACCTACAACATTTCAGCAGGTGAAGACCATCTATTTCTGCCCTGCCCCCAACTCCCTGGAGTTGTTTGCTTTTAGCACAGTCTAGTTTATTTACAGCTCATTCCAACTCAGAATATTTCCATCAGGTGGACGTGTTTGGGAACAGCTCCCCCCCTACCCCCCCGCCTCTCCTTCCCAGACAACTAAGCCAGGACTTCACATGTCTATTTTGGTGTCATCTGAGTGGCCTGCGGGTCTCTCTCTGGACTACGCTGCCTCCGTGGAATCGTGTCTGACTGAGCTCAGGGTCTGGCTGGACCAGCCCCAGCAGGCTCTGTTGTGCTGGAAAAATCATGCATGTGAGCACATGGGGCGCAGAAACCTGGCCGCGCCATGTGGCTCAGCCCCAGGCAGCTGCCTTGGAAAAGCCCACTAGACAGAGTTTCAGGACCACTTGCCCTGACTGAAAGACACTGAAGTCACGTTGTACGTGGCCACTGCGGTGCCAGATCGCAGGCAGAAACAATGCTGAGTCTAGTTGAGCTTTTGGCAAACGTTTGGGGGTGTTTTGCTGTTGCTGATGCTGGCTTTGCCCTTTGGGCTCAATACCATGTGACCCTGGGACACATCCTTGAAAAGCGATTCACTCCAACTTAGTCTTGGAAACACAGGGACTTGGATCAAAGAGTGTGAGTCCGGATGCAAGTGACCATGTGACATGGTACAACTCCCTTTCCAAAGTGGGATTCAGTTTCCCCATCTGTACCACGAGGAGTTTGGCTCGAACCACCTCCCCAGTCCTTTTCATACATCTGACACCAGGATCAACACAGTGTCCATCTGGATCTCTTACTCCCAAGACCAGCCCACTAATCGGGTAGTAAAGACAACCCTTTCTCTTTCTGCCCCCTTTTTCAATATCAAGAAGCCCCACTCAAATCAAGCAAATGTGTCATTAGAAGACACCAAAGGGCCCTGACAAGTGTGGCTCAGTTGGTTGGAGGATCATCCCATAAAACAAAGGGTCGCGGGTTTGATTCCTGGTCAGGGCACATGCCTGGGTTGCAGATTCAGTCTCTGGTCAGGGCATGTATGTATGAGAGCAGCTGGTCAAAGTTTCTTTCTCACATTGATGTTTCTCTCCCTCTCTTCCCATCTTTCTAAAATCAATAAGCATGTCCCCAGGAGAGGATTATTTTAAAAGGCACCAAAGGAAAGAAGTGACATAAACATCTTGTCTTAGCAGGTTGGGAAAACTACAGGTGCAGCCATGTGCTCTTTTGCAAGTGCTCATGCAGTTGGTGAACTCTTCACCTTCCTCCTCCTCCTCCTGCTTTTGGGCCTTTCCCTGCCTTTCTGAGAAGGAGCCTGCAAAGAGGAGAGGTGAGGTGAAGGGCAGAGCATCACTAAGTGTTTGGACCCAGAGTCAAATAGCTCAGCCACAGTCAAGTTCTTGCCTTTTTCTGGCTGCAATTTGTCTGGTTTTCCCCAATTCACATATTCTAGAAAAGGTTTAACCCAACAACTTTCCTTCAGTCCCCGCATATACCACACACACCTTCAAACACAGACCATATTAGAGTTTGCCATCTTGCAATCTCCTCCTGAGCAGGAATTGGGTGTGGGGCGGGGGGAGCAGGTGAGGACACAACCTACAACAATTTGGCAATTTGGTGACTGCTGCTGCCTGACCCAAGCCAGTCAGGCTGGAGCGTGAAGCAGGGCTTCTCGGCCACCAGCACTAGAAGTGCCCCAGAACACAGGACGCGATGTCACTCCAAAGCCAAGGGAGCAGCAGCTGCCAGCCTGCCACTCTGAAGTCAAGGTCACAAGATGGGCACACACAAGTGCACACACGCAGGCGCATGCCAAAGCCCCCACCATCTCCACTGTCACTCCCTTTTACGTTGGCGATTCCAACACTGGCCGAGAAGTTTAAGATTTAAAGGCTTCTGAAGGCTCCCAGAGCAAGCCGGCTCTCCGAGGGTCTTTTTTCCAAAACAATGCATGCACACATGCAAGTGCACGCGCATGCACACGCGCACGCACACGCGCACGCACACATACACACTCACACACACCACTCACCCAGGCAGCAAGCTGAGTGACAGAGCAGTCCTGAAATGGTAAGCAGATGAGTCAGGCTGAGTGATGGGCCTGTCATTGTGGGCAAGGCCAAAGGCGGACTGACCGGGGAGCACATGCTGGAGACGGGCTGAGATCCGTCACGCCCCCGAGCAGCCCCAGCGCCTGGCCTGTTGGGCATTTGCGGTGGGAGTCATCCAATCCCTGCTCTGGTGCTGCTCCTGGCCCAGATGTCGGGGGTCCAGAGGCCAGTCCGGAGCTCCTGGGAGCAGGACTGACTAAGCAGCGTGCTGGCCTCTCGGGAGGCTGCACTAGGGGGCGGCTTGGAAGAGGAAGAGTGCTCTCGGCC